TGGTAAAACTGCTGGTATCTCAGCACAGAGAAACGGCGCCGATACCCAACTGCAAGTAGTCATGGTATTTTTTTTCTTTACCACCAGGCACAAGAGGCATTTAAAAGAAAATAGAAGGAAAAAAAATGTCAGTTTCACTTACAAGTGTCCATGATGAAGCAGTAAAAATAGTTTTGTTAAATCTTGATCCTTGAACATAGTATTTTTTTAATACTGTCAAGTGATGAAACAGAAGCTTTGTGTGACTGAGTCACAGGTGAGCTAGTCACTTGACTGGAACACCTTTCTCACTTAAAAGGTGGCTGGCAATGGTTATTCCAACTTGGGTTTCTGGCAGATTTTTTTTCTCAAATGAATAAAGTCTATCATTTCAAGGAAAACAAGACAGTATCCACTCCCAATTAAAAAATGCAAGGTTGGGGGCAAAACGTCAGAATTTTAGAGTCATGTCCACCAGCATGAGCTTAACAGTGTTCCAAGAGGCTTCTGATGAGCACGGAATTATGTTCATGAATGTGCTTTGATGCTACACAGTGAAGTGTACTGACAGACAGAAGATCTCAAGGACCAGAATTGTCCGCTGCATGGAAGAGTAAAAGATGCATTCAAAGTTTGACAGAATATTAAGAAATAATATTCACGATTATCTAACATGGCTAGATACCGCATACCTCATATCTAACATACCTCAGATATGCTTTTTAGACATCTCGTACATGTGGGACCGGCATTCTGGCAGTTAGGTCTGCAGTGCTAGCACTCCATGTGGACACTGGTTCATGTCCTGGCTGCTGCGCTTCCTATCCAGCTCTCTGCTAATGGCCTGGGGAAGCAGTGGAAGATGCCCCAAGTCCTTGGGGCCCTGAACCTGCATGGGAGACCCGGAAGAAGCTCCTGGCTTCAGATCGGCGCAGCTCCAGTTGTTGCGGCCAACTGGGGATTGAACCAGCAGATGGAAGAACTCACACTCTCTCTGTCTCTATCTCTCTCTGTAACTCTGTCGTTTAAATAAATATTTTTTTTAAATACAAAGTTAAAACAGTAAACAATGGTCTAAATGGTGTGTTCACCAGCTGTGTGGAAGAATTGAAAGAAAATGCAACACCGAATAAGTACTTTTAAGGACAGAATTATTTTTTAAAAAATATATGTATTTAAAAGGCGGGTGATTGTGGGAGAGGGGACAGAGAGAGGCAGAGATTTAGATATTCCTTCTTTTGGTTCATTCTCCAAATAGTAGCAACAGCCAGATCTGGGCCAGGCTGAAGCCAGGAGCTGGGAACTCTGTCTGGGTCTCCCACGTGGGTGACTTGCTCCCAGTTAATTTTCCTATCATTTGCTGCCTTCCCAGGCACATTAGCAGGGAGCTGTATCAGAAGTGGAGCAGCGGGACTCAAATCAGCACTCAGGTATGGGATACCAGGGTTGTAAGCTGTGGCTTAATCTGCATTACAGTGCTGGCCCCAGACGGGGTTACTTCTGAAGTTGGTGCCTTTTAGCCTGTCAAGAGATTGGGACACAGTAAGAAAGGAAATAGAATATAAACATAAACCATTACTGAACAGTAATATTTTTTAAAGATTTATTCATTTATATGAAGGAGTTACACAGAGAAGCAGAGAGAGAGAGGTCTTCCATCCGCTGTTTCACTCCCCAGTTGGCCGCAGCAGTACCAATCCTGAGCCAGGAGCTTCTTCCAGGTCTTCCATGCAGGTGCAGGGGCCCAAGGACTTGGGCCATCTTCTACTGCTTTCCCAGGTCAGAACAGAGAGCTGGATTGGAAGTGGAGCGGCCGGGACTCACACCGGCGGCCACATGGGATGCTGGCACTGCAGGCAGTGGTTTTACCCACTACGCCACAGCACCCGGCCCTCTGAATAGGAATATTAATACCATTCATAATGTCTGTCTTCAAAACAATTTTTTTCCTTAAAAGGAAATCTGGTAAAACGCTTTGAAAATACTGAGTTTCTGTGGCTTCAGCTATATAATATAATTGAAATTATAGTTCTCAAAGCAGTGTCTCTCTAAAACTGTCTGCAAAGTTGTTTTCTTTGACTTGAACCTAGTTGTTCAGCAGCTAAAATCTAGTAAGGGCTTTCCTCCAATTTCTTTCTTTTTCTTTCTTTTTTTAATATTTTATTCATTTGAAAGAGTTAGAGAGGTAGAGACAGAGTTTTTCCATCTGCTGGTTCACTCTCCAAATGTCTGGCTGAGATGATCCGGAGCCAGGAGCCAGGAGCTTCCTCCAGGTCTCCCATGTGGTTGCATTCTCCCCTGCTTTCCCAGGCGCATTTCCCAGTGGGGAGCTGGATCGGAAGTGGAACAGCCAGGACTCAAACTGGCTCCTATATGGGATGCTGGCACTGTAGACTGGGCCTTTTTTAACTCACTGTTAAAAAAGAGGCCACAGTGCTGGCCTCTCCTCTTATTTCTAATAGAAATAAATGAGTTTATTTTGGTTTTAAAAAAATGTTTGTTTTTGAAAGAGTTACAGAGACAGATCTTTCATTTGCTGGTTCACTTCCATCTGCTGGTTCATTTCCCATATGGCCACAATGGCCAGTACTGGGGCAGGCAAAGCCAGGAGCTTCAGGTCTCCCATGTGGGTGGCAGGGGCCCAAACACTTGAACCATTTTGCATGCACTGCTTTTCCCAGGCCATTAGCAGGTAGCTGGATCAGAACTGGAGCAGCTGGGACATGGACAGGTGACCATATGGGATGTGCATATCACAGATGGCAGTTTTACTAACTATGTTGCCACAATGCTTGTTCCTGAGTTGTGTTTTTTGTTTGTTTGTTTGTTTTTGTTTTTTTTAAACGTGTTTATTTGGAAGTCAAAGCTGTAGAGAAATGGAGAGAGAGAAAGAGATCTTTTGTCTGCTGGTTCACTTCCCAGATGGCCACAATGGCCAGGGCTGTGTCAGGCTTCATTAATGGGAAGCTGGACTGGAAGTGGAGCATCTGGGAAATGAACTGGTGCCCATGTAGGATGCTGCAGATGGCAGATTGACCCACAACCTTGGCTCCAGTAAATGAGTTTTTAACAGTACAAATGAACAGAATAAGTTTTAGTTAATGGGTAAAAGCACATAGTACTCAGTTCTTTAACTTTTTTACCAACGCATAATCATGTTAAAACAATATGTATAGTAGCATTAAAAAAAAATCCAAAAATGCATCTGAAAGGCAGAGAGAGACAGAGATCTTCCATTGCTGGTTGACTCTGAATGCCTGCAGCAGCCAGGTCTGGCTCTCCCATGTTGGTGGCCGGGACCCAAGTTCTTGGACATCATCTGCTGTCTTCCACGGTGCTTATTAAGAAACTGGGATCATAAGCAGAGCTAGGTCTTGAACTCAAGCACTTTGATGTGGGGTGGCGGTATCCCTAACTGCCGCACCAGATGCCCGCCCCTTGGTAACAGCATTTCTTGGTAGCATAAAATGTTGGAGTGTTAAGATCTTTGAATTAGCCGTAATTATATTGCTCTATAACGTATAAACTTAGTTGCTTAAAACAACAAGCCTTATCTCCGTTTCTGTGGGTTAGGAAACTGTGCTTAACTTGGGATTCAAGTGCCTGCCACAGCTTTCGAGAGCGCCGACTTCTGGGAGCTGAAGCGCGGCAGTGGCCGAAGGAGGCGGAGACAGCTGACTGTAGCTGTTCTTCCTGCCTTCTGCACGGCTGTGTTTAAAAATGAATCTTAACCACATTGAAGGAGTCTGCTTCTTGAGAGATTACTTCTCACCCATCCTGAAAACTATGAAGGGATGGAAAATTATCAGGGAAAAAAGCAAAAATGGGTAAATTTTAAGGCCAGTTTTTCTAGTGCATTGGGAGAAATCTCAAAGTAACTTCTGTAGTTATACTACTCGGCAGGAGTATAGTGGGCACATTTTGGAAAATAATTTTTAACATTTTTAAGGATTTAAAAACACATAGTCCTTCATTTTAATTCAGTTAGAGCTCCTCCAGATACAGTTGAGAAATGTAGCTTTATTAAAGGCAAAACTAGCACAGTGTAAGTTCAGGATTTTAAAAGTAATTGTTTATGCTTTTTGAGAAATGTGTTGTGTTTCTAGATTTTAAAGCCCTTTAAAAACGCGAAGGCCAGAGAATCCAGGTTGTAACTGTTCCTTCTTTGTGAAGGAGGGAAGCCCATCTCCTTGATGCTTGACAGTCATTTATTTCTGCTTTTGATAAAATAACTTTTGCAATGTATTCTCCTCTGCTTGTTTTAAATCATACTGCTTATTGGGCAAAGAAATTCTGTTTGTTTTTATACTTAGCAATTACAGGAGGACTTCAAAGAGTTCATGGAAAATGCATACTAGGGAAAAGATGCATGGGTTTCAAATTTTTTTTGCACCAAAATAAATGTCTTTTTTTTTTTTGACAGGCAGAGTGGACAGTGAGAGAGAGAGACAAAGAGAAAGGTCTTCCTTTGCCGTTGGTTCACCCTCCAATGGCTGCCGCGGCCAGTGCACCGCGCTGATCCAATGGCAGGAGCCAGGTGCTTCTCCTGGTCTCCCGTGGGGTGCAGGGCCCAAGCACTTGGGCCATCCTCCATTGTACTCCCTGGCCACAGCAGAGAGCTGGCCTGGAAGAGGGGCAACCGGGACAGAATCCGGCGCCCCGACTGGGACTAGAGCCTGGTGTGCTGGCGCCGCAAGGTGGAGGATTAGCCTATTGAGCCACAGCGCCGGCCTATAAATGTCTTTTAATTCCATTTTCCATGAACTTTTTGACCTGGGAATCATACATACTAGAGGGTATGTAATGTGGAATATTAAGTAATAAAACCTAGCAACTTCATGGTTTTAAAAATATCCATGAAAAGAAACTTTTCTCTTTACATGGATTTTAGTATATTGTTTTTCTTCCCTCTGATTCATTTTACTTAAATCCATATTCATTTTGCCTTTTAATGGTATGGTTTAATTTGTTATCCGGGTTACTCTTTGTGAAAGTGGTTAACATAGGTGTCTCTCTTACAGGAATCTTACCCCTCTTCTTCACCAATATGGTTTGTGGACTCTGATGACCCAAATCTGACCTCAGTTCTGGAGCGTCTTGAAGATTCTAAGAACAACAATTCGGTGAGAAAATAAACCAACCTACTTTATTGTTTTTTCATGAACATTAGACTCATATAGAACTTAAGGGTTAAGAGATATTGTATAAATGCATGATTATAATCATTATTTGATAATCTTAGAGGGGTTAAAGAGCTGGGATTTTGTTTTTTAGGCCTAAGTTCTATTTACTTCCCGATTCTCTCCCTCCCTCCCTCCCTCCCTCCCTCCCTCTCTCCCTCTCTCTCTCTCTCTCATATATTTCCTATAGATGTTGTCTTTTTCTTTTTTTAGATTTATTTATTTATTTGGGAGGGAGGAAGGGAGGGGTCTTCCATCTGCTGGTTCACTCCCCAGATGGCTACAACAGTTGGCGCTGAGCCAGTCCAAAGCCAGACGCTTCCTCTAGATCTCCCATGTGGGTGCAGGGGCCCAAGGACTTAGGCTTCTGCTGCTTTCCCAGGCCACAGCAGAGAGCTGGATTGGAAGAGGAGCAGCCGGGACAGAACCGGTGCCCATCTGGTTTGCCGGCATCGCAGGCAGCAGTCTTACCTGCCATGTCACAGTGTGTTGTCTTAGATTAGGAATTTGGGATCTCTTTCCCTAAATCCTAAAACCAGGCAAGCTTTTTTTTTTTTTTTTTGGCTATAAGCCACTAACCAAAGTGGGAATTGAATTAGAAACAGACAGAGGTGTGTGTTAGGAGATGATGATAGAATGGCGCCAGTGCCACTGTTAGGGAGTTACTTTTTTATGTCAGGGGTCTGTAAGACTGCAGTCAAAGCCAAAGATACTCAGATAGAAAGTTCTATTTTTTAATATATAGTAGTCTTCCCCTCATCTTCAGGGTTATGTGGATGATACCAAACCCCACATATACTGTGGGAGTGTCTCACACACACACATGAGGTAAAGTTTAATTTACAAATTAAGCACAGTAAGAGATTAGCAACAGCTTCTTTTTTTTTTTTTTTTTTTTTTTTTTTACTTTTTATTTTATTTATTTATTTTTTTTGACAGGCAGAGTGGACAGTGAGAGAGACAGAGAGAAAGGTCTTCCTTTGCCGTTGGTTCACCCTCCAATGGCCGCCGCGGCTGGCGCGCTGCGGCCGGTGCACCGCGCTGATCCGATGGCAGGAGCCAGGAGCCAGGTGCTTTTCCTGGTCTCCCATGGGGTGCAGGGCCCAAGCACCTGGGCCATCCTCCACTGCACTCCCGGGCCACAGCAGAGAGCTGGCCTGGAAGAGGGGCAACCGGGACAGAATCCGGCGCCCCAACCGGGACTAGAACCCGGTGTGCCGGCGCCGCTAGGCGGAGGATTAGCCTAGTGAGCCGCGGCACCGGCCCAGCAACAGCTTCTAATAGAATATAACAGTCAGTATACTGAAGTAAAGGTTATTTAACACTTAGGGATTATTTCCATAATTTTACATTTAGTGTTTTCAGACTTTCATTGACCGTGAGTAATTGAAACAATGAAAAACAAAACTGTGGGGTTGGTGTTGTGGCATAGTAGGTAAAACTGCACCCTGCAACGCCAGCTTCTGGGATACCAGTTCAAGTCCCGGCTGCTCTACTTCTAATCTAGCTCCCTACTAATGTGCCTTGGAAAACAGCGAAACATGGCCCAAGTGCTTTGACCCCTTTACCCATGTGGGAGACCCGGAGGAAGCTCCTGGTTCCTCACTTGGGCCTGGACCAGCCTCAACCATTTGGGGAGTGAATCAGTGGTCTGAAGAGTTTTCTCTTTTTCTCCCTTCCTCTCTCTGTAACTCTGCCTTTAAAATAAAAAATAAACTAAATCTCAAAAAAAAAAAAAAAAAAAAAAGGAAAAAGGGGGAAGGGGGCTGGCGCCATGGTGCAATAGGTTAATCCTCCGCCTGCAGCGCTGGCATCCCATATGGGCACCGGTTCGAGTCCCAGCTGCTCCTCGTCCAGTCCAGCTCTCTGCTGTGGCCCGGGAGTGCAGTGGAGGATGGCCCAGGTGCTTGGGCCCTGGACCCATGGGAGACCAGGAGAAGTACCTGGCTCCTGGCTTCGGATGGGTGCAGCTCCGGCTTTGGCGGCCATTTGGGGAGTGAACCAACGGAAGGAAACTTTTCTCCGTCTCTCTCTCTCTCTCTCTCTCTCTCTCACTGTCTGTAATTCTGCCTGTCAAATAAATAAATAAAAATCTAAAAAAAAAAAAAAAGGCAAAACTACAAATAAAGGAGGGACTACTGTTCAAAGAAATGTAGCGTTCCATTTTTCAAGAAATTTAGGGGCCGGCGCTTTGGTGTAGTAGATAAAGCCACTGCCTGCAGTGCCGGCATCCCACATGGGCGCCGTTTCGAGACCAGGCTGCTCCACTTCCCATCCAGCTCTCTATTATGGCCTGGGAAAGCAGTGGAAGATGGCCCAAGTCTTTGAGCCCCTGCATCCGTGTGGGAGACCCAGAAGAAGCTCCTGGCTTCGGATTGGTGCATTTCTGACCGTTGCGGCCAATTGGGGAGGGAACCAGCAGATAGATCTCTCTCTCTCTGCCTCTCCTCTCTCTGTATAACTCTGACTTTCAGGTAAAGAAATAAATCTTTAAAAAAAAATTTAAAACTCCTCTTTCTTTGAATTTGAAACTCTTTAAGTGTCCATTGTGAGAAAACTAGTAAAATATACATAACAAAAAGAGGAAAATGAAGGTCTCTCATACTTTTTCAAATGAATAAAATCTTTAAAAAAAAAAAAAGTTACACAGAGAGAGGAGAGGCAGAAAGAGAGGTCTTCTATCCACTGGTTTACTCCCCAGTTGGCTGCAACGGCCAGAGCTGTGCTGATCTGAAGCCAGGAGCTTCTTCCAGGTCTACCATGTGGGTGCAGGGGCCCAAGGACTTGGGCCATCTGCTGCTTTCCCAGGCCACAGCAGAGAGTTGGGCCGGAAGTGGAGCAACAGGAACTTGAACCGGCACTTGTATGGGATGCTGGTGCTACAGGTGGTGGCTTTACCAGCTATGCCACAGTGCCAGCCCCTCCCATACTTTCTTTTTTTCTTTCTCCTTTCTTTTGACAGGCAGAGTTAGAGACAGAAATGTCTTCCTTCTGTTGGTTCACCCCCCAAGTGGCCGCCACGGCCGGAGCTGTGCTGATTCGAAGCCAGGAGCCAGATGCCTCCTCCTGGTCTCCCATGCAGGTGCAGGGGCCAAGCACTTGAGCCATCCTCCACTGCTTTCCCAGGCCACAGCAGAGAGCTGGACTGGAAGAGGAGCAACCGGGACTAGAACCCGGGGTGCCGGCGCTGCAGGCGGAGGATTAGCCTAGTGAGCTGCGGCACCAGCCCCATACTTACTTTATTGATATAACTAGTAGTGACATGACGGCTATTTTCTACCAGTGTGTTTGTTATTTCCCCTTTGATAGTGAAATAGTTGAGTCATATATTCTAAGTAGTCTTACGATCTTACAAACATTATCTTGTATTTTCTCATGACTTTGTAAAGGCCTTATGGAAAAAGCAGGTAACATGATTGTTTACCTAAAAAATATCTAAAGGAACCAACAGAAAAAAATTGTGTTAAGATGGCTGGTTGGGGCCAGTGCAGTGGTGCAGCAGGTTAATGCCCTGGCCTGAAGTGCCGGCATCCCATATGGGCACCAGTTCTAGTCCCGGCTGCTCCACTTCCCATCCAGCTCTCTGCTATGGCCTGGGAAAGCAGTAGAAGGTGGCCCAAGTCCTTGGGCCCCTGCACCCGCATGGGAGACCAGGAAGAAGCTCCTGGCTCCTGGCTTCGGATTGGCACAGTTGCGGCCATCTGGGGAGTGAAGCAGCGGACGGAAGACCTCTCTCTGTCTCTACTTCTCTCTGTAACTCTCTTTCAAATAAATAAAACAAATCTGTTAAAAAAAAGATGGCTGGCTAAAATTTCCATTCTATGAAAATCAATAGCTTTCCCAGATTTCAGCTAAAAAAAATAGAAATTACATTAATAAAATATTTTATTGATAAAACGTAAATAGGAATAAATTCTGGTGTGCAGGATTTATATCAAGGAAATTGCAGAATTTTGTGAGTGGAGAGAAATATGTGGATGCTCTATGCCTGTTTGGCAGACTCCACATTAGGTCAATTATTTGCATATTTTCATATTAACTTTTTTTTAAAAGATTTATTTATTTATTTGAAAGTCAGAGTTTCACAGAGAGAAGAGAGGCAGAGAGAGGAGAGAGAGGTCTTCCATCTGATGGTTCACTCCCCAGTTGGCTGTAATGGCCAGAGCTGCACTAATCCGAAACCGGGAGCAAGGAGCATCTTCCAGGTCTCCCATGTGGGTGCAGGGGCCCAAGGACTTGGGCCATCTTCTACTGCTTTCCCAGGCCACAGCAGAGAGCTGGATTAGAAGTGGAGTAGCCTGGACTAGAACCGGCGCCCATATGAGATGCCAGTGTTTCAGGCCAGGGCGTTAACCCGCTGCGCCACAGTGCTGGCCCCTTCATATTAACTTATACACCTAATGCAGTTTTAGTAGAAATCAACAGATTGGTTTTTGGAACTTGACAAAATGACTCTTGTTTAGAAGAGTGAGTGATAGGGATGGTTGTTTGGCTCTTTGACTGAGCTATGGCTTGGCTTGGCATGCCTGCATCCTATCACATATTGGAGTATCTGGATTTGAACCCTGGCTCTGCTTCTATTTCTAGCTCCCTACTAATGTGTACCCTAGGAGGCAGAAGATGACGGCTGAAGTAACTTGGGTCCCTGCCACCTATGTAAGAGAGACGTGGATTGTGTTGCAGGCTTCTGGCTTTAGCCTGGCCCAGTCCTGGTTGTCGGAGGCATTTGGGGAGTAAACCAGTAGATGAATGATCTTTGAAATGAAATGAAAATAAATTAAAAATTTTAAAAGTTACGAAAAGGTAGTAAGAGATGCCCAACCAGATAATAAAATAGTGTACTGGCACTAGACTATACAGAAATGTAGTTGAAATTCAGAGTCATACAAGCAAACAAGAATTTAGAATAAGGAAAGGTAGGTGTTTTTTTTTTTTTTTTTTTAAGACTTATCTTATTTGGGGGCCCCAGCGCTGTGACGTAGTGGATAAAGCTGCCGCCTGCAGGCCTGGCATCCCATATGGGCACTAGTTCTAGTCCTGGCTACTCCACTTCTGATCTAGCTCTTTGTTACGGCTGGGGAAAGCAGTAGAAAATGGCCCAAGCCCTTGGACCTCTGCACCTGGGTGCATGGGAGACCCGGAAGAAGCTCCTGGCTCCTGGCTTAGGATTGGCACAACTCTGGCCATTGTAGCCATCTGGGGGAAAAAAACCAGCAGATGGAAGATCTCTGTCTCTGTGTCTCTGCCTCTCTGTAACTCTGCCTTTCAAGCAAATAAATAAATATTTTTTAAAAATTCATTTTATTTGAAAGGGTTATATAGAGAGGTAGAGAGAGAGAGAGAGATATCTTGCATCTGCTGGTTTATTCCCCAAATGGCTGCAACGGCTAGAGCTGTGCTGATCCAAAGCCAGCAGCTGCTTCTGGGTCTCCCACGTGGGTGCAGGGCCCAAGGGCTTGGGCCATCTTCTATTGCTTTCCCAGGCCACAGTGGAGAACTGGATTGGAAGTGGAGTAGCTGGGGTTTGAACTGACACCCATATGGGATGCCTGCACTGCAGGTGGCAGCTTTATCTGCTGTGCCTCAGTGCCAGCCCCCTAGAAATGATCTTGAAGTTAAATCTGTGTTTGACTGATTTTGTAAACAAACACAAAAAAGTAAATATATTTACATGAAAAAAAAAAAACACCTCACTTTCTACTCTTTCTTATAGTCTTTTTTCAGCTTATTTTTAAAGACTTATTTATTTGGAAAATGGTGAGACAGAGGTCTTCCATCCATTGGTTCACTCCCCAAATGGTTGCAACAGCCAGGTCTAGGCCAGACTGAAGCCAGGATTCATCCTGGTTTCCCGCATGAGTGACAGAGACCCCAGTATGTGGTGCAGCTTCCAGTGCCTGCCTGCGTGCATTAGCAGGGAGCTGTATCAGAAGCAGAGCAGCTGGGTCTCAAATCAGTGCTGGGATGTGGGACGCTGGCATCACAGGCCGAGGTGCATTCCAGCTCTGGCGCCCTCTGCCGTTTCCCTTCAGCTTGGTTTCTTGAGAGAATAAGCGCCTTTCATCACTTAATTCATTCTAATCTGCATTCTGTCTTCATTGTTGGGCTACAGTTCATTTCTTAGTTGCCAAATGCAGTGACTCCTCTTAGTCCCCACATTGACTCATGGTAGTATTTTGGTATTTATGACTGTTCCCTTGTTGAAGTATTCTTCTGTTCACAAATGTTTATTACTTAATGTCAGCCCGTAATGAATTGGTTGAATAAAAATAGTATAGTTTCACAGTAGAATATTCCATTGTAGTTTGAAAGAATGTAGCCGATCCTCTGTAAGAGCATAAAGTTCAACTACAGACTTAGTGAAAAAGGGAGGCGTGGAATATTGTGTGTGATCTGGCCTTTTTATACAGTGTCATGAAAAATATCTGTATGTATGTTGGTTTATACATTTCTGCTGAGAGGAAGTAAGAAGCTATTAATAGAACATAGAAAAATATTTTTTCTAGAAACGATTGGCTCCTGTGCCTGACTGTGAGTAGTGGTGGGTATGAAAGGCAAGTGAGGCAGCTTTTGTCCTCTGGGAGCTGATAATCCGATGGGAGCTTCATGCGAGCGCTGTCTCTAATTCCTACTACCCTGCCGTAGTCTCCAGCTTTTGTTGCTTGATCTGTCTCTTCTCTCCTTGCTCTGTACTTTCCTGCTCTCGTTACTTAGGTTAGGTCCTCTATCCCAGAGATTTCTGAGTCTGACTTTCACCAGAAGTTATCTCCAGAGTTCCAAACTCAGATATCTGTCCATATGACGTACATGTTCAGGGAATCTCACATATATGTGCCATGGTGATCAGAATTGCATCTAAATGACATTCATCTGCCTCCTAGCATGCTACCACCCTACCATGTTGTCCCTCAGGAATCTTCTTTGTGATTCTGAGTGGGACAAAATGAATCATGAAACTCGTCGCCCATGTCTGGACCTGAGAACCACCTAGAATTCTTTTTTATATATAATCCTCCCCCCCAAAAAACTGTCTAGTAAGATTCTGATTCCTGTGTGTATCTTCTGAGTGGTTCTGAGACCTTCCCCTGTGTTCTTAGTTTCTCTCCCCGTCTGTCACACATTCTGTGGGGGACATGGCATCGGTAGATTTGGAGGATGTTTCTCCCTGGTCTTGCCGCCGGGTGTGAGTCCACCGCACTGCTGCCTGTCCTGCGGCACGCCGCTGCTCCTCCTTGTGCTGAACTCGCAGTGTCCAGACCACACTGCTGACCTTCATTCTGTACCCAGCACGAAGGAGGGCTTACTGGGCAGGTAACTGACCCACAGTGGGACTTCCTCCCTTTAAGCATGAGGATTTTTTTGATCCCAATCATTTAGTTTTCCTCACTTCTACTTGTTCCTTTGTCCACACTGTGGACAGAATTGCTCTGTGCTCTGTTTATCCCATTCTAATCCTCTGTTTTGTCTTTGATAAAACTGCTGCTTTTTCTTTATCTCTTTTCTTGGTCAGAGACCCAAGAACCTGTTCCTGACCAAGTGGAGAAGCTGCCTTATTCACTCCCATTTGATTCTGATAAGTATTTGTCAGTGTTCTTAAACCATGACTGCTAAAATTAGACGTTGAAAACAATGGTAAACTACAAAACACATGTTTGTGCACACAGTTCACCTTGCCTACTTGCTTAAATATGTTTAGAATAGAATCTGGATTTTGAAAATGGACATTTGAAGATACTCTTTTGCATAGGCAACTTAAAAGCCTGCTCTGTGCCAGGTGTTTTCATGGAAGCTTTCATTTAATAGTCACCATTCTGAGGCAGTTTCAATTGCTTTGTTTTCCAGATAGGAGACTCACACTTGGAGAGTTAGACACCATATCTCAGCTCATTTAGATCCCATTTGCCTCTGTACTTTAAGACAGATATGACTGTGGCATATACAGTTTTATAATCTGTGCACAACAGCACTGCCCCGTGTTTATGGCCTTGTTAATGCAGTAGTGTTCTCTTATCTGAAGTTGTAAGTTTCTAGAAAACGAGAAATTGGACAATGTCTAGAACTCTTTTCCTTTGCCTTTTTATTAATGTCATTCTACTGGGTGTCAATTTTAGGGCTTTTTACTTCGGCCATGGTAACTTTATTATTATTTTTTTGTAGTAACTTTCTTACACTAGCAGCCCCTAAGATATTTTAAGACTGTTGTTTTATCCCTAGGCGGCAGTGGAGCAGTTTGAACTTTTTCATTGCCTTCTGGATTGATTGCAGTAGTTGTAGCATTGTTCATGTCTTCTAAGGGCTCTTTAACATAATGCTTATTTACCGAAATGTGTTTTGTAGCTTCGTCAGCAATTGAAGTGGTTGATATGTGAACTCTGCAGATTATATAACCTTCCTAAGCACCTGGATGTTGAGATGCTAGATCAGCCACTGCCCACGGGTCAGGTAAAGTAAAAATTCTCCAGTGTTCAAGAGCTAACATGAATTGTCTGAAGCAAAAGTAAAACTAGGATGGTATTTCTTTATTATTATACAGCTTATTTATAAATTAGTTTCTGTGTTCCTATTGAATTGCTTTGTTTCTTTTGTTTTAGTACTGAAACTAACCTTTTCATTTTTTGGAGCTGATGGCATTTACTATGACAGGCAAACTATTGCCCCAGTCTGCACCTTTGTTTTTGTTGTGAATATTCCTGGTTTCTACGAATGTTCCTTGCTTCTTTTAATACCTCTGCATTCCAGGGGAAGGTAACTGGATAAGCAATCTTTTTTTTTTTTTTTTTTTTTGACAGGCAGAGTGGACAGTGAGAGAGAGAGACAGAGAGAAAGGTCTTCCTTTTGCCGTTGGTTCACCCTCCAATGGCCGCCATGGCCGGCCGGCGCACTGCGTTGATCCGATGTCAGGAGCCAGGTGCTTCTCCTGGTCTCCCATGGGGTGCAGGGCCCAAGCACCTGGGCCATCCTCCACTGCAATCCCGGGCCACAGCAGAGAGCTGGCCTGGAAGAGGGGCAACCGGGACAGAATCCTGCGCCCCGACCAGGACTAGAACCCGGTGTGCCGGCACTGCAAGGCGGAGGATTAGCCTAGTGAGCTGCGGTGCTGGCCCAGCAATCTTCTTGAGTCCATCTGTGTTTCTCAAGGCCTAACCCAAACGTTACCTCCTCCGAGCAGCAGGAGTTCCCGTTAGCTCCCCACCTCCCCTAGTGGCGCTCACGTTCTGGATTTACCTACTCAGGCATTGGTTATGGACTTTTTACTATAATAAATGAGGGTTTCTTTTATGCTACCCACTGACCCACCCACATCTGCTTCCTGAATCCTTACATCTAGTTACATGTCACATGAATAATCACTGTTGTTCATTATGAATATTTTAGTGTAGAGCCAATTTCACTCTTAGGAAATTGCCTTTCTTGTGCAACTTTGGTTTTCCAGTAGCCCCATAGGATAGGAATTGTTGTAGAAGTGGTGCTCTATCCCTGTCGGTGAGCTCTCCCTCTTTTCTAGACCCAGTGGCTCATGGGCACTGGTCTTGGCGCTTTATTCTCTGGACTGGCTGTGCACACACATCTTGCAGTTTTTCTTGCTTGCTCTCAGTAGATACATTGTTTCCCGAATCTCATGTCATCTTTCTTGGCTTATCTTTTCTTATTTTACCTGAGTACATTATCAAGTAAAACCCTAAGAAACCACTAAGGAGTGGTACATTTTCTGAGTTAGATTGTGATAAAAATGATGGTCTGAAATTTGGGTTCTGGAACCAGAATGCCTTGGATTTGAATCTTGTTTTCGTGGCTTGTTGGCCATGTGTACTCTTGGACCAATTACTTAATCACTTTGCATCATTTTGCAAATGAGAAATGGAGAAAATAATGGTAGTACCGGCTAGTTTTGGGAGCTGTGAAGATATAAAAGAGTTGGTTCATGCAACTCATTTTAGAATAGCGCCTGGCACATAATAAAGCTAACTTCTGTTGTATTCTACTCTCACACTTGATTGATAATTTGGCTTACTAAGTGATTCTAGGTTGCAGGTAGTTCTACCTTGGAATTCAAGGACTGTACCATGTTCTGGTCAGTGTGGTGTTGAAACCTAGTGCCACTCTGTACTTACTCATTTCTGCATGACTTTCTCTCTGAAACGTTGAGTTTCTTCTCCTTGCTGTTCTGAAATATCACAATGACTAATTTTGTTGTGGGTCTTTTTTTCATTCATGGTGCTGGGTGCTCAGTATGAGTAGGACTTTTTAAATTTGGAATCTGAAATCTTACGGGTTTTGTTTTTTAAATTTCCTCCCTTCTGTTTCTCATTTTGAAATACCTACTGCTTGGATTTCAGATCTCTTGGCTTGAGCTATTTTGCTCTATTTCTATATTCTCTTCTTTTAATTTGAAATTCTAGAATATTTTTGTGATCCTGCAACTTCTGAAATTTTATTTGAAAAGTCATGAGTTTAAGTTTTGTTTTATTTATTACTGCTTACCCAGTTACCCTAAAAGTTACCAGGAAACAGCAGTTTTCTCCTGTTTCAGTATTGTATGCTTTGACTAGACTTGTCTGGACAGTTCTGCTGGTATCCTTTGGGGACTGTGCAGTCACCGGTGTTATCTGGACACGAGAAAGCACTGGAATTTCACTCCGATGTCTTTCTGCCTAATGGCATCTCATCCTCAGGGCCTCTTCACATGGCTCTCTCTTCAGGACAGTCAGGATTCCCAGTTTTGGTTTCCAAGAGATGAAAATGGGAGCTGCCAGGCATTTTTAAGACTTAGACCTGGAGAAAATAGTGTATAATTTCTACCACCTTCTGTCAGTTAAAGCAGCCAAGATTTCCTGTGGGATGGGATCATACAAGGGCACAAAACCAAGTGGTGTGGTTTGTTGGGGCCATTTCCAAAAGCGAGCCATTAGTTCTAGAAACTCTGTCAGTTCTTATTTATAACATTGTGTTTTTGTTTTATAGATATAGCCTTTTCATGAGGCCTTTAGTGTTATTTTGGTACTTTTTAGTCTTCTGGCATCTCAATATTGTATATTGTCTTAACCTAAAAAAATTTATTAATCTTGGTCTTTTTTTTTTTTTTTTTAAAGACCCCCCCTCCCCCCGCAGTTCTGTATGTGGCATAGTGGGTTAAACCACTGCTTGCTAGGTTGGCATCCCAATCGGAATGCGCATTTGAGTCCTGGCTGCTTTTAAGTACTATGCTAAATGCCCACCTCTTGAATTTGTTTCAACAAACGTGTAGGGGTATACATTTTGAGTGTGTTTGACTTTATTGCACAAGTTTTAAAATTTAGTTTATTTTCTGGAAAGCTTATATTTTTAAGTAGTTTTATTCCATCTGTTATTCTGCATACCTATACTTTTCAGACTTTTAACTATGGAATGTGATTTAAAATATGTGAAACATAAGCTTAGTGTACCGTAATTAAACCTGAGGATCACCACTGAGCTGCCGCCCAGGTGGAGGGCTAGAACATTCTAGCACTGTGGAGACCGTCTGTGGTCTCCTTCAGTCCCGTCCACTCGTGCATGCAAGTCCTTTCCTCTCCCCAACTTCATCACTCGTGTGCGTCCTTAAGCAGTGTCGTTTGTTGTAGGCCTGTTTAGGGTTTCATATTAAGAGTGTTCTTTCATATCTTTATTTTGCTTAATATTGTGTGTGAAACTGGTTGATATTGTATGTATCTAGTTTTTTTTTTTTTTTTTTTGACAGGTAGAGTTATAGACAGTGAGAGAAAGAGACAGAGAGAAAGGTCTTCCTTGCATTGGCTTACTCCCCATATGGCCACTATGGCTGGTGCTGTGCCGATCTGAAGCCAGGAGCCAGGTGCTTCTTCCTGGTCTCTCATGCAGGTGCAGGGGCCCAAGCACTTGGGTCATCCTCTGTTGCTTTCCCAGGCCACAGCAGAGAGCTGGACTGGAAGAGGAGGAACCAGGACTAGAACCCGGCGCCCGTATGAGATGCCAGTGCTGCAGGCAGAGGATTAACCAAGTGAGCCACAGCGCCGACCTCTAGTTTCTTTAATTGCATTTATTCCATTATTTGAATATGCTGTAACATTTGACTCTTAGTGGTATTTGGTTGTGACTAGTTTTTGTCTATAAGGAAGAGAGCTGCTATGATCGCTTGTTATTTCATAGTCCCTCTTCACGCATTTCTGTGGGGCACGTGCTTGGGAGATGAGTTACTGGACTGTGAGGCCAGTTTCTTCTTAGCCCATGAGTTGTCTTTCTAAAAACATTTTATGATGACTTTAGAACTTTATCATTAGAGGATATGGCCTATGGCCTCTCGGTTGTGTTATCAGCAACTGCTTACACCGAACCATTGATGTGATTGTTGTCTTTGCTTACTGCTGTTTCTTCCATGTGCCACACACCCCTCTTAAGAATATCCGTCAATAGTACCTTGTGTTGTTTTCTGGAAAGGATTTGTTGGACATGGAGAGTGTTCTTTGACTACTTGGCCGTCTGTCTTTATCATTCATTAAATAATCTGCATTGGCATAGAGCAAGCACTGGTGAACACACACACACACACACACACACACACACACACACTCGGCACCTGTCTTGCTGGAGCTAGATGGAGAAAAAGTTTGTAACGGAGTCTCCTCCCTGTTGTTCACACTTTATCTTCTGGCATCTGTTGTTAAGGATGGAAAGTCTGGTGCTTGTTTGATTCTTGTATTTTATTTTTTCATTCTGGAAGTTGTATGATTTTCTCTTTAATTGTGAGTATGGGTTTTACTTTCCAGTATTCTTTTGGGGCATTCAGATCCCTTTAATGTTCTGAAGTCTGGTATGCACCTTTGGCCTGGTGGTGAATGGTGTGTTCTATGTTGGAGCACCTGGGTTTGAGTCCTGGCTGTATACTTTTGGTTCCATTTTCATGCTAATATGCACCCTGGGAGGCAGGGTGTGATTGTTCATGGAGTCTGGTCTCTGCTACCCATGCTGGGGACTTGGCTTGAGTTCTGGGCATCCTAGCAGATGCAAGATAGCTGAGGTGTCTTTCTCTTCCTCTTAAAAAAATTAAAATCTTTAGCTTGGCAACATTTGATTATGTTACCCGTTTGATTTCTTTTCCTTATTGCTCTGGGTAAATATACCTGTGTCTCTGTTTTTTGTGTCCTTTAACTGTTTTTAAAAAAAATTTTTTTTTTTTTGACAGGCAGAGTGGACAGTGAGAGAGAGACAGAAAGGTCTTCCTTTGCTGTTGGTTCACCCTCCAATGGCCGCCGCGGCCAGCGCACCACGCTGATCTGATGGCAGGAGCCAGGTACTTATCCTGGTCTCCCATGGGGTGCAGGGCCCAAGCACTTGGGCCATCCTCCACTGCACTTCCGGGCCACAGCAGAGAGCTGGCCTGGAAGAGGGGCAACCGGGACAGAATCCGGCGCCCCGACCGGGACTAGAACCCGGTGTGCCGGCGCCGCAAGGCAGAGGATTAGCCTAGTGAGCCGCGGCGCCGGCTTAAAATTTTTTTTAAAGATTGATTTATTTATTTGAAAGGCAGAGTTACAGAGAGGCAGAGGCAGAGAGAGAGATCTTCCATCGGCTGGTTCACTCCCCAAATGGCCGCAACGAAGCCAGGAGCTTCTGGGTCTCCCACACAGGTGCAGGGGCCCAAGCACTTGGCCGTCTTTACTGCTTTCCCAGGCCACAGCAGAGAGCTGGGGCACAAATGCAGCAGCCAGGACTTGAACCGGTGCCCATGTGGTATGCTGGCACGGCAGGCGGCAGCTTCACCCACTGGCCCTTGACTGTTCTTACTTCCATCTCTTTCATTCAAAATCCCCATCTCCTCTGTCCACATTCTAAGGGTGTGGCACATTTGGCCCTCTGAATTGTAAACACTTGGTCAAGTCCATTGTGCTCTCCAGCCCTTCGACTTGACTGTTCCCTGGCTCCCTCTCTCCCTCGAATCTTATTTTTAATTTCCCGAGACGGTCTTGTACTTGACATAGTAATCTTTCCTGTAGTGTTTTCTCAGTCACTGCTAAAGATCCTGCTGAATTATTTTATCCTGTTTGTTTCCTTTGGCGGTAATGCTTCCCATCACTTGTTCTGCTCATTTGACTTGAGGACTTTTCTTTTTAGGTTGTTATTCTTCTTCAACTGTCTGGTGGTACTTGGTTTTCTGCTCACTTACGGATGAGGATGAACCACTGATCAGTGTCACCTGTTGATATGATTGTCCTCAAATTGTCACTCTTAATCACTGTGGCTTCTACTCCAAGTTTCCCCACCTCTGTTCTTCCTGTGGCTTAAGGATGAGGAGGTGCTGGCAAATGGGCTTTCATACTTCTGAGGGGGAAGTGTTGGGAGTTTTGCTACATTACCGAGTTAAATTAAAAACATTCCATCTTGGCCGGCACCGCGGCTCACTAGGCTAATCCTCCACCTTGCGGCGCCGGCACACCGGGTTCTAGTCCCGGTCGGGGCGCTGGATTCTGTCCCAGTTGCCCCTCTTCCAGGCCAGCTCTCTGCTATGGCCAGGGAGTGCAGTGGAGGATGGCCCAAGTGCTTGGGCCCTGCACCCGCATGGGAGACCAGGAAAAAAGCACCTGGCTCCTGGCTTTGGATCAGCGCAGTGCGCTAGCTGTAGCGTGCCGGCCGCGGCGGCCATTGAAGGGTGAACCAACGGCAAAGGAAGACCTTTCTCTCTGTCTCTCTCTCTCACTGTCCACTCTGCCTGTCAAAAAAAAAAAAAAAAAATTTCCGTTTTTCCTTTCTGATTCTGACACCTGTTGTCAGAGGTCATCAGGAGAGGCTTGTTATATAGCACTGTGATTCTGACCAGCTGCAGTGGTGGACAAGCGTAACAAAGAATTTGTGATTCCTTTGGGGAAAAAAATCTCACTATTTCTTTTTTTTTCTTTTAAACATGCATTTATTTATTTGAGAGGCAGAGTTACAGAGAGAGAGAGAGGTAGAGAGGTCTTCCATCCGCTGGTTCACTTCCCAGATGACCACAACGGCTGGAGCTGTGTCAATCTGAAGCCAGGAGCTTCCTCCAGGTCTCCCACGTGGGTGCAGGGGCCCAAGGACTTGGGCCACCTTCTACTGCTTTCCCAGGCCACAGCAGAGAGCTGGATTGGAAGTGGAGCAGCTGGGACCCAAACTGGCACCCAAATAGGATGCTGCCATTGCAGGTGGCAGCTTTACCTGCTCCGGCCCCACTAAGTTTCTCAGGGATCACCTCTGTTATCTGGGTTGGGTGTGGCTTTGTTGAGGCCAGCGGTCTGATTGCATGGCTTTACTATGTCCTCTAGCCTGTCCCTGTAGTTTTAGTTGCTGATGGTGTTTGTTGTTTTTCTGGTGCTGCAATGAACTTACTCATCTTTAAAATTCTTTGGTCATTTCTGTTTGGTTTTGGAAGGAAGACCAGGCCACATCTTGAAATGAGCTTTTCTTAGGATTTCACAGCTCTGACTGGCCTTGTCTTTTGGTTAAATTATCCTTTGGTGGTGAGGGGGTGGGCTCAGCTTTCTTGTTTGTAAAATGAATGACAGGGACTAGGTTGATGGCCACAGGCGTGGCTGCATGTCAGAATCACCTCGGATAGCTTTTTGAAAAGATTCTCTGGGGTGTGCTTTGAAATCAGCATCTCAAAAGTGCCTGTTAGTCACGGGTGCCCTGAAACGCGTGTCTGGGACTTTCAGGCTCGGTATGTTCTTTAGACACCAAGAATAGTTTGGTTTGGAATATGCAGTTCAGGGACGTGAAGATGGGGTGAATCACGACATTTTGGAGCTGCTGTTTCCTTCCTTTTCCCAGTTTCCAGGAGACAAATAATAGATGTCTCGAGACGCAGATTTAAAACCTTGCGTCTATCCCACAAGGAGCTCCCCAGCTCGCTGGTCTAGCAGAGCGGCCTGAGATAGCGGCCTTTGCTTCCTTGTGAGGTAGCCGCATCAGAGTAGCTGAGAAGGGGCTGAGCCTTTCTTGCTCTGGTGTGAGCTCCGGCCTGGGCCTAACCAGACGCCCTTGTGACTAAAGATGCCTGCGTGCGCCGTGTCCACGAGCACTTGGGCAGAGCTGGACATCCCATCGATGCATTTGTGAGTGGGTGCTGAATTGTGTCCTGTAGAGACGTGTCCTGTGTTAATGTTTTTAGAAGGGAAACTGGTTGTTTTGTGAAGTGGTGATCATTTTATAACTTTTTCAATTTTGTGATGTGTCTTCTTTAGTAACATACCAGACCTTTTTAAATCAAGGCAGTTGAATTTGTATGAATATTCAGGCTTTTTGAAGTTAAAAAGGTAGATACTTTAAAGATTAATAGTTTGGGATATTTGTTTTAAATGAAATAAGCCATTGACCTTAAACACACAGCCATTTTATACATTATCCTTATTTTAAATCAGATTATAAAATTTTCAGTTTTTCATTTTATTTGACTTTATTTATTCCTAAGACATCTTAAATTGAGTGTGTCATGCACACATGTATGTATAGATCACGTACACATGCATATCATACATATATAACAGACACAAATATTACATATGTATATGCATAATCACACGTATGTTTGCATTATTATAGACTGAATTTATAAAGATTTTTTTTAACTGGGCTTCAAAAATCAATGTTTCAGTTTTAATAAGCTCACTGTTAGTGGACGTGTAGAGGCCAGGAATTGTCCCCAAATCCGCTTCACTGGTCTTCTCATGTACTAAGTGTGTACGTATTGTTTCTGTGTAGACCAGGAAAATCCTTTTTGTATTTCAGAATGGGACAACAGAGGAAGTCACTTCAGAAGAGGAAGAAGAGGAAGAGATGGCCGAAGTAGGTATTTTATGTAAGAATAAGATTTATAAATACCTTCAGTTTTTAACATTTTAGTAACTCTCTAACTTCTCTTATGAAATAGCATTAATGAAAAACACCTTGTGTTTTGAGTGGAATATAATTTCTGAACTTTGACTTCAGTGCTGTGTCTTTGAGTGAATTACTTTATCTGAATTCCATGATTTTGATTTTCTGGAAAATTAAAGTAGAACTAACATTTAGAACTGAAATTATATTTACATTTAATAGTAATCAGATTTTAACCTGTACTTTGTAGTTGCTCCTCCCCAAAATAACCAAGTTTAAAAAGTTCTCTGCTTGAATTAAAGAATTTGAGAACATTTCAGTTACTACGTCACTACTCACTAGAAGCAATCAAATGGTCTTTTATTGAAAAATTATCTAAGAACTTTGTTTAAGGTCTTTTTTTGTAAAAGGATAGCTGAGACAGGTAATTCAATCAGGACAGAAATTTATTTTCTCATGGATTTGGAAGCTGGAAAGTCTAAGATAAGGTATCAGCCTTTGGTGTCTGGTCAGGGCCTTTTGCGGCCTGGTGTGGCAGGAGGGCAAGTGTGAGGGAACAGCTTGATACATCTATGGGGAGCTTCCCTTATAAAGGGTTTAATCCCACCAATGAAGACAAGCCCTGCTGAACCTAATCACCTCTTAGAGACCCCCACCTTCTGATAATACTGCATTAACAGAACCTGAAATTCGGAGGGATGCATTTGAATCATAGGAAATCTGATGCAGCAAATTCCAGTGGACTAGGCATGTTAGTCATTGATAGACTTTTAAGGTTTTCAGGCTCAGATGCCTTGCTAACTTCTAACTTTGAAGATCTCTGTCTTTAACTACCAGACAGAAGTTTATGTGAATTCCATGGCTTTGATTTCTTTTTGAGATTTTTTTTTCCTGTTTTAAAATTAGTTTGGGGCCAGCATTATAGTGTAGTGGGTTAAGCTGCCACCTGTGATGCCAGCATCCCATGTGAGTACCAGCAGTACTGACTGCTCCACTTCCAATCCAGCTCCCTGATGTTGGACACCTGAAGGCAGTGGAGGATGGCCCATGTGCCTGGGCCCCTGCTACCCACCTGGGGACGGGGATGGAGTTCCAGGCTCCTGTCTTTGGCCTGGCCCAGCCCCAGCTGTTGCGGCCATGTGAGGAGTGAACCATCGGCTGTAAGGTCTCTCGCCCTCTCCTGTCTCTCCCTTTTGATCTGTACCTCTGTCCTTCAAATAGGTAAATCTTCAAAAAAAAAAAAAAAAAAAGTAAAATGAAGTTAGTTCAGACTTTGACCTGATTCTTGATTTAGATATTTTTTAAAATCTAAAATATACTTTCAGAATGCCTACAAAGGAATTGTAGGCTTGTGTTATTGTTTTTTTTTTGTGTGTGTGTGAGTGTCTGGGAATAAAATGATTCTTAAAATTCTAACTTAAAAAGTTAGAATGACTTTTTTTGGGGCAGATCACTTGTTTTAATATTTTTGTGTAGTTTATCTTAGGTAGAGTACACTGCATAAAAACATGGAATCTTTTCTGTGGGCCTAGTATACAGTGAGGTAGACATTCAGAATTGATGAGCTTTGCTTTTTTTCTTCACGAGATAACAAAGGATGCTGACTTTTAAGGAAATCTAGAGTGATGGAGGGCTGGACTTCGGCGTTGTCAGATTTTAGGAGAGATGAAAAGGAGATATTCTAAGCCACTACAATAATGTGGGGAAATCCCCGGGAAGCCTTGGGTGGCATGTGTTTGGGTGCAGTGGGTGCTGCTGTTTTGGGAGAGAAGGGGTGATGTGTCAAGAGCTGTGGAAAGCAAGATAGGCCATGAGAGAGATGGCTTGACATGCTGAGTGTACTCAGAACAGGTTTCTGTTCCATGTACTGCTGATGGGAAGGCTTTAAACAAGGAGTAGTGTGCTGAGAATGGGGGTTTGGAAAGATAATGGTGAGTTCTTTGGGGTGTGCTGATTAATACTGAAATGAGGTTTTGTGGGTGGGAATGCGATAGAGTAAAGGTGTACAAGGACAAGACACAGACTAAGGGAATTTGAGAATTCTGAAGGAAACACGTGGGTGGGCACCAGGAGAAGAGAGCCCGTGCGTGGTACATGCGTGGTACGTGAGTCTGGGTGAGAATCGAACGTCCTCGTGGTGGAAGAGATGCATTCCCAGCGAGGGGCTGACTGAGTCTGGATGAAGGTGGTCAGCAACCTGGTCTGGTCTAGCAATCCCAGAATTAGCCTGGAGAAGATGGAGATAGTAAGTATAAACTACTCCTTTAGAGAGTTTGGCAGTTGAAATAGAAGTAAGATATTGGAAAAACTGAGGATTAAACAGTTCTGCAGGGATTGTATGTAGGAAGAAGCAGATGATGTGGGCAAGGAGGGAACATACTGATGTGGAAATTAAGATATTGGTCTAAGGATGTTGTTCAGATTCTTTTTAGAACTTTTCTAATTATAAAACTCAGTAGGTGCTTCCTACAGAAAACTCGGAAAATAGGGGAAAGCAATACATGTCTCTAGAAGTAGCAACGTTTACATTCCAGTGTAGGTCTTTGTTTTCTGGTGCTTGTTTTGGCATAATTTATGTTCGATATATTTTAATCTGTATTTTGTTTTTCATTTTAATGCAGAAGTAATAATTATGCTATATTGGCGTTTTAATGCCCTCTTAGGTATTACATGGAATGAGTTTAAAGTCCTACTATTTTGCATATGAGGATTTTGTATTTGTTTTTTGTGCTAGCTATAAGTGAAAGTGGCATTGTTGTGCCTAAATTTGTGCATGCATTTTAGGCTACTTTTTTTTTTAAGATTTTATTTATTTATTTGAAAGGTAGAGTTACAGACAGTGAGAGGGAGAGACAGAGAGAAAGGTCTTCCTTCCATTGGTTCACTCCCCAAATGGCTGCTACGGCTGGAGCTGCGCCGATCCAAAGCCAGGAGCCAGGAGCTTCTTCTTGGTCTCCCATGTGGGTGCAGGGACCCAAGGACTTGGGCCATCCTCCACTGCCTTCCCAGGCCCCAGCAGAGAGCTGGACTGGAAGAGGAGCAACCGGGACTAGAACCAGCGCCCAATGGGATGCTGGTGCCGCAGGCGGAGGATTAACTTACTGTCCCAGGGTGCCAGCCCCTAGGCTACTTTCCTACAATAGAATTCTAGAAGGCCCAGGTCCTGGAATAGCATGTGAGTAGTTAAGGTTCTTTTTACTTTCTGCAGAATTGTTTCAAAAATTTCTCTAATGAGGACATTCAAAAGATGGAGATTTGGTAATAGTGGTGACATTGTAAAGCTATAAAATATGCTCTGCTGAGAGTCTAGCTTTTAAACAAAATACAAGGAATGAAAAGAGGGAGCTTTCTGAATTGAATGTGGAGGCTGTTCTCCCTGCCCCATTGAGTTTATTTTGTCTGCCTTTCCTCATCCCTGTTCAGCTGAGGATAATTTTTCTGCTGCAGGAAAATAGTTTGAATAGGCTAATATTTTCTTCTTTTTGTAGGATATAGAAGACTTAGATCACTATGAGATGAAGGAAGAAGAGCCTATTAATGGGAGAAAGTCAGAGGATGAAGGAATTGAAAAAGAAAACTTGGCCATATTAGAGAAGATTAGGAAGAGTCAAAGGCAAGACCATTTAAATGTGAGTGTGTGCGTGCCCAGCACCTAGACTCTGACACTCAGCAGTCTCCTAGGACCCCAGTCTCGGCTCCGCTCCTCCAGTCCTGCCTCGGTGGGGGACCCAGTCCTGTGTTTTGTTGCCCTGCCTTTTCTTTGCTGACAGCCACTTTCTACCTGGGTCATCTGCCTTCCTTTCTAGCCTGTTTGTTATCCTCCTCTTGTGGGGTCAGAATATTCAAATCCAGTCTCTTCTACAAAGTGCTGCCCAATTCTTCCTTCTCTGTGAGCTGACCTTCGGCCTGTCCTGTCCTTTTTGTTCTGTTTCTTTAGACTTACCACCACCTTTCTGTGTAACAGCGTAGGAGTGTGAAGTCAAACACAACAGTGAGGCTTCGGTTTCTTTCACTCTAAAATGTAGATGTACAATAGGGATCTTTTAGATGGTTGCTGTGAAAAATAAATGAGAATGATACATAAAAAATCACCCTGAGGAGTAGGGGTCCACCAGATGATGCTCTGAGTGCTCGCTGCTTCCTGCCTTGAATTGGCACTCTGAGGACCACTTTGTTTTGTGTCCCATCCATAGGGAACGACTTGTTGTGTAAATAGATGCCAAGTGTGCGGTACAGTTCTTCAGTCTTGTTTAGTGTATTAATTTACTTGGCAGTGTAAGAAATAGTTTATTAGTTAGCTTTTCACTACTAGAACAGATACCTAGGGCAAACTATGTTCCAAAGGTAAGAGATGTATTTTGGATCATGGTTGTGGAGGTGCAGGGTTTGAACAGTGTGGTGCAGAATCTCGTGAGGGCTCACGGGCTGCATCACGTATTGGCAGGAGTGTGTGTATCTCTGTCCTTAGGATTCCGTCAGCATTGCACTCCAGTGTTCCGGTCTAACCACTTTCCAGGGGTCTCATTTGTAAGCACCATAGCTGGATTAAGTTGCCGCCATCTCAATAGCATGAACGTAAGACATTGCGGATCAAACTCCTGCATGAGTTTGCAGGGAGAAATCATAAGCAACAGCCTACAGCCAAGAAATTAAGCCACGCCTATATCTTGGTTATTTTTTTAAAAGGTGGCATCTGAATTGATACTTTACGGCACTTTCTGTGTGCTACCGATTTGAACACTTTGACACTAAATGCTAAATACTTCATACTTCATATGCTTTCTCAATTCTCATAGCCAATGTGTAGAATTATATTCATATTTTAAAGATGTGAAAATCAGGGTTTAAACCAGTTTCAAGTCACATTGTAGGAAGTAGTATCCTAATGAACTTGATCTTTTTCCACTCAAAGTGTGGTGCAACCTTTAAATCTTTGGATTTTACATGATATTTAAAAGGTAAGGTGTTGGCACTTTGTTTTTTTTTTCTTTTTTTTTTTATCTTTGGAGAAGTTCCAGCACTGCAAAGGATGAAGCTTGCTGCATGCAGAAAAACCTAATTTCTCAGTTTCTTAGTATGTAAGCAGGACCTTCACTTCTCCACTGTACCATTTTTGCTTACAGTCTGATTAACGGAACTCTGTCTTAGTAATAATGTGTCATTCAAACACTGGTGAAATTTAGACTCAGAATTCCACACCATTGGAGGGTCTGTGCTGCTCTGGACATGTTGACTAGACCTTTTTTTCTCATGATAAACAGTAAATGAGCCAGACTTGAAATTTCATAATCCTTCATTTAATCCAACTTAATTTTTTGGCTTCTTAAGTGGTATGAATATTTTTATAATCTCATTGTAAACTTTTAAAAATTTTATTTAAGTTACACAAGTTTCATGTACTTCATATATATATATATATATATATATATATATATATATATAGAACATTTAGGAACACAGTGATACTTCCCACCCACCCTTTTTCTTCTCCCCTCTCCTATTCCCACTCTTAATTTTCATTGTAAACTTTTATAACAGGAATTACCATGCCAGTTAAACAGTAAGTTTTGTGTTTCAGGGTGCGGTGTCTGGGTCAGTGCAAGCTTCAGACAGACTGATGAAAGAGCTCAGGGACATATACAGATCACAGAGTTACAAGACAGGTAAGATCCTCTGCTTCTCTGCTGTCGCTGTTCTTTTCTTCTACTTCTTCTTTTTTTTTCTTTAAGATTTACTTATTTACTTGAGAGGCAGAGTTAGAGAGAGAGAGAGGGAGGGAGGGAGAGACAGAGAGGTCTTCCGTATGCTGGCTCACTCCCCAAATGTCCACAACAGCCAGAGCTGGGTCTGTCTGAAGCCAGGAGCTTCTTCCGAGCCTCCCATGCGGGTGCAGGGGCCCAAGCACTTGGGCCATCCTCTATTGCTTTCCCAGGCCATAGCAGGGAGCTAGATTTTTAGTGGAGCAGCCAGGACTCAACTGGTGCCCATATGGGATGCTGGCACTGTAGCTGGATGCTTGACCCACTGTGCCACAGCGTGGGTCTCTGCTGTTGTTTTCTATTTTCAGATAATTGGCATTTCTTAGAATTTAACTGGTGAGGAATGGAAATGTTCATTAACTTTATGTAAGGGACATAAAACTCCAATTTAATCAAGTTCCAGAAAGATGTAGGAGGTAAAAGATTTATTTATCTATTTGAAAGTCTGAATTACCGAGAGAGAGGGAGAGATGGAAAGATCTTCCATCTGCTGATTCACTCCCCAGATGGTCACGACTGAGCCAGGCGAAAGCCAAGAGCTTCGTCTCGGTCTCCCATGTGGATACTAGGGTTGAAACACCTGGACCATGTTCTGCTGCCTTTCCCAGGCTGTTAGCAGGGATCTGGATTGGAAATGGAACAGCTGGAACACGGTATGGCATGCTGGCATCCCAGGAGGTGGCTTTACCTGCTGTGCCACAATGCCAGCCCTGATATATCATGATTTTGTCTTCTTTCTGATAGAATTCTTAGGTGATTAAAAAAAAAAAAGACTTATTTTAAAGGCAGAATAACAGAGAGTGAGACAGAGTGAGAGATAATTCCATCTGCTGGTTCACTTTCCAAATGGCTGTGAGAGCTGGGGCTGGGGCCTGGCTGAAGTCAGGGACTGGGAACTCCATCCTGATCTCTTACAAGGGTGGCAGGGGCCCCGGTACTTTTTTGGTGCCTTCTTAGGCACATTGGTAGGAAGCTGGATTGGAGATGGAGTAGCTAGGGCTTGAGCCAGCACTCTGATAAGGGGATGCTGGCATCATGAATGGCAGCTTAAGCCTGCTGCACTACAATACCAGCCCCTCTTAAGTGATTTTCAATCTTTTGTCAAAAGCATAAGTTTTATATCTTTGGAGGGTAAATAAGATTAATATATTTTGGGGCCGGCACTGTGGCACACTGAGTTAATCCTCCGCCTGCGGTGCCAGCATCCCGTATGGGCGCCAGTTCTAGTCCCGGCTGCTCCTCTTCCAGTCCAGCTCTCTGCTGTGGACCAGGAGGGCAGTCCTTGGGCCCTGCACCCACATGGGAGACCAGGGAGAAGCACTTGGCTCCTGGCTTCAGATCGGTGTAGCTCCGGCTGTAGCAGCCATTTGGGGGGTGAACCAACAGAAGGAAGACCTTTCTCTCTCTCTCTCTCACTGTAACTCTACCTGTCAAATAAATAAATCTTAAAAAAATAAAAAAAGATTAATATATTTCATTACATAAACAAAGAACTATTGCCAAGTTAAACTTTAGACTTCTTTCTTCCCCTTCCAGCCTCCTGTTTTGGAAACATTATCCTGAACTTTTGTTACAATAGTTACAGTAATTCCATTTCATAGGTTTACAGGTATTCTTTCTTACAAGTGAGACCTTTGCATAGTGTGGAATCTCTCTCCCTAGAAGTAAATTGTGTGATATTATTAAGAGATTGTAACAGTATTAAGGCAAAGAACACTTTTTTTTTTTTTTAAGATTGATTTATTTGAAAGGCAGAGTTACAGTAAGAAAGAAGGAGAAACAGACAAAGAGGTCTTCTATCTGCTGATTCACTCCCCAAATGGTCACAATGGCCAGGACTGGGCCAGGCCAAAGCCAGGAGCCCGTAACTCCATCTGGGTCCCCCATGTGGGTGGCAGGGTCAAGCACTTAGGGCATCTTCTGTTGGTGCATTAACAGGGAGCTGCCATGGGAGTAGAGCAGCTGGGACTTGAACTGGCACTCATGGGTTGCTGGCCTCTCAGGTAGTGGCTTAACCTGCTACTCCACAACACTGTCCCCAAGAACCAACTTTTAATTTGGAAAGACAGCGGTGGGGCTGGCATTGTGGTGCAGTGGGTTAAGTTGCTGCTTATGGTGCCTGTATCCCATGTCGAAATGCCAGTTGGAGTCCCAGCTATGTTGATACAGGTTCCAACTATTGAATCCTTGGGTCCCTGTCAACCCATGTGGGAGACTTGGAATGGAGTTCCTGGTTCCTGGCTTCTGGGCCCAGCACTAGCTGTTGCAAGCATATAGAGGGTGGACCAGTGGATGGAAGATAACACACACACATACACATACACACACTCACTCACTCTCCTCCCTCTCCCCTCTCCCCTTCCTGCTCCCCTTCCCCCTCCCCCTCCCTCCCTCCTTCTTTCTGTCGCTCTGCCTTTCAAAAAGATATAGTTAGCATTATGATCTATTCTAGAATTCTCAGAATGATCAAATCAAAATCAATTAGAATGTGCTTTAAAAAAAAAAAATCCCTGGCTTTATAGATTATAAGATAAACAAAACTTCTATTTCAAATTATGAGAGGTTTGTGTCCTAATAGTTTTTCTTGTGAGAAGTCTAAAGTTTATTTGTAGAAACCTGTTTAAAGTACAGTTAAATATTTGAATGCCAATTTTATCTTTAAATGTTAAGTAAACACTTCCTTGTTTCTGTTTTTGTGATAACAAGTTACTCAGATGTTGGGTGGAATTGGTTAAATTACAATATAGCTATAAAATAAATTACTACCATTATTGTAAAAGTTGATAGTAGTTTTATGTATACTAACTTGGAGGAAAAATACCCCAGAAAGTTGAAGATAGGGCTGGTGTAGTGGGGTACGGGGTTGAGCCATTGCTTGTGACGCTGGCATCCCATATCGGAGTGCACGTTTGACTTCTAGCCACTCTGCTTCCAGTTGAGCTTCCTGCTGATTTGCGTAGAAGTGCTTGGGTCGCTGCTCCTAATAGGGGAGATCCAGATGGAATTCCTGGCCCAGTCCTCACTGTTGGACCCATTTGGGGAGCAACGCAGCAGTTATAACATTTCCTAGCCCCTGCTTTTGCCTTTCAAATAAATAAACAAAAGATGATAAAAATATATGTGGAATTCCTTTTATAGAAGTGATTATATGTGCCAAGAAGAAATAGCTTAAGTATGTATGATTTTACATAATACATTTCTTCCTCTCAATGTTAAGCAGTTTCTCAGTTTATTAATGAATCAATGGCTTTAATTATGTTAAATTCTCAGCTGCAGTTGATAAAATACTTACAATATAGCTTTTTGTTCCATGGCTTAATAGCAAAATTTCTAGCTTTCATTGGCTATTTAATGTATACATTTATACCAGAATAATAGTTATTGATTGAAAGAAGAATAATGAACGTGCCCTCTCTTTCTCCAGGGATTTATTCAGTGGAACTGATAAATGACAGTTTATATGACTGGCACGTTAAACTGCAGAAGTAAGTGTCTTTTTTGTGCTAATCCACTCTTTGCTATGGTGGTTGTCACAGTGGAGTTTGGTCCCTCCTTATTTGATAGCTTTGTACTATGGCATTTACTTAGAGCTTTAGAACTTGTTTCCATGGAACTTGTTCTTAAATTGTTAAGAATCAACTGTTTCTGAGGCTTAATATTCATGAAGTGCGAAATAGGACCAGCTGTGGGGAAAAAGTATTGGTGAGACAATGGGAACTTAGAAACAAGGGTGAATATAATGACTTGATGAGACCGACAGTGATACCATTAATTTTGAAATAAAGGATTTGAGTGGACCTGTAAATACAGAAGAACAGTTGTAGGCAAATTTAGATTTTGTTAGTGATTTGACTTTCTGTGGTCTCTACTTGAACTTCTTGGCTAATATAATTTTTAGGACATGCTAAAATTTGTTATTGAGAAAATTATGTACATGTGACTGTTTTCCTTTAGAATGGCTTTGAATCCCTTTATTAGAATAGATCTAGATTACTGTGAACTCTTTTTGGGTATTTATTCCCAAAGTGCTAGAGGCCTTCATGACCTATTTTCCTGGAGCTATAGAAAAACTTGCCTTTTTCTGGAACTACCCTAGGGGCTCTGTGTTAGTTATTGGACAGGTTCGTTCTTGAGTTTAGTGACATTCTTTTAACTTTTTCTTTGAACTGTTTTTTGTTGTAATTCGTAGGGTTGACCCTGATAGTCCTTTGCACAGTGATCTTCAGATCTTAAAAGAAAAAGAAGGCATAGAATATATTTTGCTTAACTTCTCTTTTAAGGTAAGAAAATAGTAACGGGACTGCAGATGCTTTTGATGTAAGTACATTTGTTACAGGTGCTTTAGAGAACAATGTGGCGTGTTTGGAAGAGAGGAGTTACTTAGACTTTATGGACATAGGCGTATGCCCTGCACAAGATGAATACTTGGGCGCACCAGTATTGGGGACAGATGCAGAATGTTGAGTAGCATGGTTTATAATAGCTTGACACAAAATAATCCCAATGTCCATTCCAATAAAATGTACAATTGTGTTCATAAAATGGAATATTCATATAGCTGTGTGCAACAAGATAAATGCATCTTTTTTTTTTTTTTCTTTTGACAGGCAGAGTTAGAGAGACAGAGAGAAAGGTCTTCCTTCCATTGGTTCACTCCCAAAATGGCTGCTACGGCCGGAGCTGCGCTGATCCAGAGCCAGGCACTTCCTCCTGGTCTCTCATGCGGGTGCAGGGCCCAAGGACCTGGGCCATCCTCCACTGCACTCCCGGGCCACAGCAGAGAGCTGGTCTGGAAGAGGAGCAAACGGGACAGAATCCGGCACCCCATCCAGGACTAGAACCTGGGGAGCCGGCACCACAGGTGGAGGACTAGCCTAGTGGAGCCACGGTGTCGGCCATGATGAATGCATCTTAAACAGTGTTGAACAGAAGTTGTTTTGTAAGATGCCATTTATATAGAGGTCTGAAATAGGCAAAACTAATATTGTTAGAGTGTATATTCTCAGAGGAGGCAGCATCACCCCCAGTCGGGTGAAAGTTGGTTCTTGGAGTGAAAAACATCTTAGATATTATAATGATCTGCAGCCCTCTAAGGGGTTCCAGGGACAGGTGTTGGGCAGTTAAAATTCTGCTTATGGGGCCGGCACTATGGTGTAATGGGTAAAGCTGCCACCTGCAGCACTGGCATCCCATATAGGCACTGGTTCAAGTTCCGGCTGCTCCACTTCCAATCCAGCTCTCTGCTATGGCCTGGGGAAGCAGTGGAAGAAGGCCCAAGTCCTTGGGTCCCTGCACTTGCATGGGAGACCCGGAGGAAGCTCCTGGCTCCTGGCTTTGGATCAGCACAGCTCCTGCCTTTGCAGCCAATTGGAGAGTTAACTAGTGGATGGAAGACATCTCTCTCTGCCTCTTTTTCTCTCTCTGTAATTTTGACTTTCAAATAAATAAATCTTAAAAAAATGCTGCTTAGGACACTTGTATCCCATATCAGAGTGCCTGGTTTGAAACCTGGCTGTTCTAGTTTCCTACAAATGTGCACCCAGGGAAGACAGCAGATTATGGTCAGTATTTGGGTTCCTCCCACCCACATGGGAGACCAGGGTTGAGTTCTAGGCTTTTGGCTTCATCCTGGTCCAGCCCTGGCTATTGTGGGCATTTGGGGAGTTGAACCAGTAAATGAAGATCTCTGTCTCTGCATTTCAAATAAGAAAATTATAGTAAATCTTAAAAAATAGGCTGCAGAACATAGTGTATCTGTGGTGTGCAGATTGCATGGGAGATAGTAGGTGGTGGAATTAAGAAATTTCCTTTCTACCTCTGCCTTTTTGTAGATCTGCCTTTCAAATACATAAATTTAAAAAAAAAATTTCTACAGAGGCAGAAATGAGAAGAAAGCTGAGAAACCTGGGTTTATGAATTCATCCTTAGGCAATAAAAGACATTATTGCCATACAGGGTAGGAAAAAAGAGTCCATCTGGGTGGGCGTTGGAAACTGAGAGATCCCTGGGGGTCTTTCTGGCTTCTGGCTGTAGTCTGATTCTTGTCCAGAGTATTGGTTACCTGCTTTGCAGTAACTTCTACCTCTTAATTTTATGTACTTTTCTGGTTTTTATATTTAATAAAGCTTCTTCTAAAATGTTAAACAATAAAGATTAAAAATCAGTGGAGGTTGGTGCTGTGGTATAATGGGTGAAGCTGCCGCCTGCGGAGCCGGCATCCCATGTGGGCACCCATTAGAGGCCTATGCTTCTGATCCAGCTCTCTGCTGTGGCCTGGGAAAGCAGCAGATGGCCCAAGTGCTTGGGCCCCTGCACCCACGTGGGAGACCCGGAAGAAGCTCCTGGCTCCTGGCATTGGATTAGTTCAGCTCTGGCTGTTGCGGCCATCTGGAAAGTGGACCAGGGAATGGAAGACCACACCTTTCTCCTTCTCCCTCTACCTGTGCCTCTGCCTCTGCCTCTCTGTAACTCTGCCTTTAAAATAAATAAATTTTAAAAAAAAATCAATGTAATCTGGATAAAATTTTGATTTTGATTTAATACAGAATCTGGATAAAATGTAATGGTTTAGTCTTTAAAATATTGAATGTTTTGTTAAAAAACTAGAAAATGTTCCTAAGGGGCTAGCTTTTAATTATATGGAGCTTCTTTTGACGTGTTCCTTTACATTGAGAAGAAAACTGTTTGCAGTCATTATCTTGCAGACTTTGTTTTTCCACTTCAACTAAGTAGACTTTGCTGCGTTCACTGCTGTGGAGGACTTGGGGATATGAAGACATCTGAAGTATGTTTCAGGGTGGTGGATGGCACAGTGGTTAAGGTGCCATCTGCATTGCATTTGAGTGCCTGGTTCAAGCCCCACTCTGCTGCTGATCCAGCTGCCTTCCTGCATATGCCCTGGGAAGGCAGCAGATGATGGCTCAAGCAGATGATGGGTCCTTGCCACTCATGTCGAAGACCTGGACAGAGTTCTGGACTCCTGGCTTGGCCTGGCTGAATCTTGGCTATTGCCTGGATTAGTGTTTCTGGACCATGGCTCCTGACACCAGAAGGAAAGACCTGGAGGAAATAGGATTGTCCTGAGCTAACTGACTCAACCTTAAGCTGAAATAGCTAAGATATCAGCACTGGGATTCACAAACTATAGAGGACAGCAGGTGTGGCTCAGGTACTACAGGATGGAGCAAGAACAGTGTATGTGGCCGCAGTGTCCACAGTGACTACTGGAAGGTCATGAAGAACAACAGAACTGAGATGTGGTGCAGGCTGGAAAGGGGCAAAAGGAATGGGTGTGGCAGCTTGGTAAATCGGCTGTGCTGTGCTCCGAAGTTGTTTTTGGACTGTTCAGGCCACGTCTGAGTTACTGAGTGGAATTTTGAGGTAGTACTTTAAGAGGTTAATTTAGACAAATTGTTTTTTGCAGTGCTAGGGAACTCTAGTCTGTGGGCCGTAAAAGGCCCACAAATCATTTGGTCTGGCCCTGCCAAGCAACCAAGTCCGGGCTTGAAATTCGTAAGTCTCCAGCAGGCTAATTGTTGATGATTTTGCATGGTTCCATGAATGATGTTACAAAGCATGCAAATGGCCCTTGGCAGAAAAAACGTTCCCCAACCCTGGTTTAGAGAATAGTAACCAGGATTAGGAAGATATTCCATCTGTGTCCTAAGGTTCAACTGAATTTGGAGAAGAGGACGTAGGGGATGAAGATCACTGTGGTCAGTCATTTGTGGGACTGTATGTGGAATCATTAGTTTGAATTGTTTTGAAAGAAAACAAGGACTAAAACTGGAATGAGCCAAATTATAAAGAGGCAGTTTTCAGCTCAGTATAAGAAAGCGATTTGTAACTATGTAGAACCATCCGATGATGTAGTCTTTCAAAAACAGAACATTCTTCATTAAGAATGGCTTAGAAGGCCCACGTGTTACATTGGGAATCAGATAACTTTGAGATCCTGGTATGAGAGTCTCCTGAGTTCCTGAGTTAACAAATATAACTCTAACTTTGATGTCAGCAGTCATTTTCAACCTTACCATCTTATTTCTGTACAATCCTCATGACTTAGGGTGATCCGTGGATGGACCTTAACAAGTAAGACTCCCAGAATTTCATGCAGCGGAAGAACTGTTCTTAAAATGAACTCCATAAAATGAAGGAGTTTGCGCGTGGTCAGTTGAGAGGTTTTGGAGTGACTCTTTGGAGATGGCGTGTTTAAAGAGCCAAGCAATAGATATATGAGGTTGAACTTCACCAAGGTTTGCATCTGTGCTTTTCATTAGGTCTGTTAAATTTTGGGTCAAATGTTGAGTTACTTACGCAAACATACATTGTAACGGTCATTAAATTGGTGTCTTGTGTTGCTGGATTTCTTATTCTTTTCTTTCTTTTTCTTTTGACAGGCAGAGTTAGAGAGACAGAGAAAGGTCTTCCTTCCGTTGGTTCACCCCACAAATGGCCGCTGCGGCCGGCGCACCGCGCTGATCTGAATGCAGGAGCCAGGTGCTTCTCCTGGTCTCCCATGGGGTGCAGGGCCCAAGCACTTGGGCCATCCTCCACTGCCTTTCTGGGCCACAGCAGAGAGCTGGACTGGAAGAGGGGCATCCAGGACTAGAACCCGGTGCCCCCAACTGGGTCTAGAACCTGGGGTGCTGGTGCTGCAGGCAGAGGATTAGCCTAGTGAGCCATGGCTGATTTCTTACTTTTCTAACGTGTAGTAGAAATCTAAGATCATCTATTTTTGCCATCAAAAGTATGCTTTATCTTCTTTGGTATGATTAGGTCTTCATGATTTTTTTATGTTCCTCTGAATGTTATTGAGGGCAGGCAGAGAGGGAGATAAAGTAAGTTACTGAAATCATACTGCTTATTCTCCCTTTAAAACTGTATTTTTGTTTTCCTTGGAAATGGATTAAACAAATTTTGTTTAGATCTCTTACACTCAGCTTTTTTTTTTTTTTTTTTTTTTTTTTTTTTTTTTTTTTTACTTTTTTTTTGTGGTTTTAAACAGTAATTTATGGGGGCAAGCACTGTGGCATGGTAGGCTAAGCTTCTGCCTGTGGCACTGGTATCCTGCTTGGGGGCCGGTTTATGTCCTGGCTATTCCTCTTTCAATCTAGCTACCTGCTAATGCACCTGGGAAAGCAGCAGAGGATAGCCCAAATGAGCTTAGGAGTGGGCCAGCCCCAGCCATTGTAGCCATTTGGGGAGTGAACCAGCAGATGGAAGATCTCTCTCTCCTCCTCTCTCTTTCTGTAACTCTGCCTCTCAAATAATTTTTTTAAATGATTTATTTCAGGAGCTTCTTGCTGGGTCTCCCACAGGGGTGCAGGGGCCCAAGGACTTGGGCCATCCTTCGCTGCTTTCCCAGGTGCATTAGCAGGGAGCTAGATTGAAAGAGGAACAGCCAGGACAAAAACTGGCACCCACATAGGATACCAGCACCACAGGTGGCAGCTTTAACTGCTGAGCCACAGTGTCGGCCCCAAATGTACCATCTTTTAAAAAAAATGTAAGAGGCAGAGAGCACATGCAAGTGCGTGAGCTAGCAGGCTCTGGGTTACTCCACAAATGCTTGTGATGGCTGGGCCTGGGTCAGGCCAGAGCTGGGAGCCAGGAACTCAGCGTTGGTTTGCGTGGAGGTGGCCAGGATCCAGCTACTTGACCATCACTTGCTGCCTCCCAGGGTGCACCCTCGCAGGAAGCTGGAGTTGAGAGCAGAGCTCTGGGACTCAAGCTCAGGCACTGATTAGGGATGCTAGTGTCCCAGCTGGCGTCTCCACCACCAGGTCCAGCCCAGCCCCGATTTGATCCTCTTGTGGGTGACTTCTGCTGGTCTTTGCTACGTGTTCCTTTTTCTTTTGGGTTAACACTTTTTATTCCTGCGGTTTCCCACCTCTGTTATCTTGGTAGCTAAGTGTTCTCCCAGTCTTTCTACAGTCACAATACATGTTCTTGCTTAATATGAATCTATCTTGTGTCTTATTTTCCTCACTTTCTACCTTTTTGCCTTTTCTAGCTTCATTCTGGGTATTTCTTACCTTTTTTCCAGTTTATTAAGCTTTCTTTTAGGTTTGCATAGTGGTTAAACCCACCCATTAAAATTCACTTCAGTATTGCATTTGTTTCTAAATTTCAGAACTTCCATATGGTTCATTCTCGTAATTCTAAGTTAGGTTTTCAGTCTTGTCCTTTCTCCCTTATACTTAGAATTATCTTGAAGTGTCTGCTGACTCGCTCCCGTGTGTGTGTGCCTGTCGCTTGCTCTTTCTGAGCGTGTCCGCTGCAGGCCTCCTGTGGCTGGCTGCCGTGGTGGTGGAACTTCGGCGTGAAGTCCGAGCCTTGCGTGGGTTCTTCCCCACAGAAGCCCCGGGCTGCCTCTGCCAGCCAGGGACGGTGGTGATCAGCAGCTGGACTTCATTCTCTGGGCAGATGCCGGTGTGTCCTTCAGGTCCCAACTTGCAGGCTGTAGACTCATCAGTGCCTCCCCTTGGCGGCCACTGAGCTCCAGTTTTTAATCTCTCTACCTGTGTCTGAGTTCAGTCCCTCTTGATAATCTCTTACCTTTTGGGAAGACAAGCTAAGGGAAAATAGGACTCTGCTCTCTGGGGTGCCTTCTGTTTCTCCTCCTGTTAGCCCTACAGTTCTTACATTGTCCATCTTTTCTAGATGTGGGCCAGAAGATCCATCTAGATGGCCTAGTCATTGGAATGGTTCCTTTGGAGAGCTCTGTTGAAAGTGGAACCTGTACATGTATTTCATCAGTTTACCAAGACATTATTCTATATGGGCTTCTTACGACTTTATACTTCCTTTGGCTTTACATTTTATTTTTGGTACTAATTTTATGATCATTCATCATCAGTAATAAATATGTACATTCATTATAGACTTTTTAAAATCTTCTAAATAGTACAGTTTTAAGGATGTTCTTAGGTTAATTAAACTTGCCTGTTTGCTTTCTAGGATAACTTTCCGTTTGATCCTCCATTTGTCCGAGTGGTGTTACCTGTTCTCTCAGGAGGGTAAGTTGAAGTGGCTGCTTTTTTTTGGATAACGTGCCTCAGGATCGTTTGGAGGTCTGGTTGAATCCTAGGAGGCCTAGGGCATGAGGCTGTGCCCTGGGGGTTCTGACCTAGGACATGAGGCTGTGCCCTGGGGGTTCTGACCTAGGACATGAGGCTGTGCCCTGGGGGTTCTGACCTAGGACATGAGGCTGTGCCCTGGGGGTTCTGACCTAGGACATGAGGCTGTGCCCTGGGGGTTCTGACCTAGGACATGAGGCTGTGCCCTGGGGGTTGAGGCCTAGGACATGAGGCTGTGCCCTGGGGGTTCTGACCTAGGACATGAGGCTGTGCCCTGGGGGTTCTGACCTAGGGCATGAGGCTGTGCCCTGGGGGTTCTGACCTAGGACATGAGGCTGTGCCCTGGGGGTTCTGACCTAGGACATGAGGCTGTGCCCTGGGGGTTCTGACCTAGGGCATGAGGCTGTGCCCTGGGGGTTCTGACCTAGGGCATGAGGCTGTGCCCTGGGGGTTCTGACCTAGGACATGAGGCTGTGCCCTGGGGGTTCTGACCTAGGACATGAGGCTGTGCCCTGGGGGTTCTGACCAGTAGACCTGGGCGGGAGCGCCTTCGTTTCTGAGGAGTCCCACGTGCAGGCACTGCCGCCGCCCTGGAGCCTGCATTCAGAACTGTTGTGGGTTGATAGGTGGCGTTTAGAGCACCTTCTTAGAAGTATCGCACCATGAAAAGCCACGTGGTTTTCAGACATAAATTGCGATTAGAGGTTGAGTGAGTCCCACATACCTGTGATCCTGCTTCACTTCTAGGATCACCACAGGAGCTGTGATGGCCTGTGGAGCATGTGTTCACCAGTAGTGAGTACAGTTCAGGAGAGTCAAATGACAGTTGCCATGCAGCTTTTATTCTACAGATTTATTTATTTTATTTGAAATTCAGAGTTACACAGAGAAGGAGAGGCGGGTGCGGGGCGGGGCGAGAGACTGAGAGATCCTCCATCTGGTGGTTCACTCCCCAAATGGCTGCAATGGCCAGAGCTGCGCCAATTCGAAGCCAGGAGCTGGGAGCTTCCTCTGGGTCTCCCACGTGGGTGCAGGGGCCCAAGGACTCGGGCCATCTTCTGCTGCTTTCCCAGGCCACAGCAGAGAGCTGGATCGGAAGTGGAGCAGGCGGGTCTCAAACCAGCACCCATATGGGATGCCGGCACTGTAGGCGGCGGCTTAACCCGCTACACCACAGCACCAGCCCCTGCCGTGCAATTTTTGTTAAAGCCTGAATTGCTGCTTTTTGGTTAAAAATATTAATGTAGGGTGGGACAAAAAATCAAAATGTATGCCTAAGCTAGTTATGAAATGTGTTTTAGAGCCCTCTGGTGTAGGAGTGGCTAAACCAATTTGAGAATTTTGAACACTTAACAAAGTCCACTTTGTGAGGTACTCCATATTGTGGTGATTAAAATCTAAAAATATTGGTTGAGATAGTAATATTTATGTTAAAATTAATGGGAAATATGCTAAAAAGCGATTTGGGAGCTTTCTGTGGAGCGTCCCTGTTCTACGCTTGTTGCAGTTAGTTATCTTTTTGCCTTCATTCTTATGTGTGCTTTTTGGGATCAAACCCTGTTAAGAATTGTGTCTCTGAGTAGTCAGAATTTGTCACCAGCTGTGGTGTTGACTTAGTACAGAGGTAATGGAGCATGATGTGTACCTGCACATTCAGTTGAAGAAGTGGCTTTAAAAGTTGTGTGTGGCACGTAGATGTCCTGAGTCCATCTGAGGTCTACCTGGAGTAGCATCGCCTGAGCGTTCACACACCTGCAGTCTGGTTGGTTCCGGATCGGCCAGAATGTCCTGCGAGCACCAGGATGGTGTTCTGCCAAGATTACAGGGCTTTGGGAAATTGGGCTCGGAATATTCTCTACAGAGAGCTTCCTGGGGCCTTAGTGTGTCCTCCCTGGAAGGTGTTAGCCATCTTTTCCCACAGTCATCTTAGTAACTGCTTTGTTTTTACTCTCTGGGAAGTGCTGCTGTGTTAGGAATCTAGGGGTTGGAGGTGGCTCCCGTGTGTGTGGGGCAGAGCAAGGACAGCTGCAGCAGTCCCTGAGTAGCTGGACCTCAAGGGTCTACAGGGCTCTGTGGCAGAAGCTGCTGCAGGCTGCTTACAAGCATCCTGTTAGGAGGAGTGGAGATCTAGGACTGTGTAAAGTTTTGTTTGCTCTCTTTTAAAGTTTCCCTAGACTGTTTTGGATCATGCAGTAAAAATGCCATAAAAAGTACTTGTCCGGTCTTAAAGTCTCATGATCAGTTTTCGAGGTTGAATGTTAGGTAACTGGACCAAATATTTACATACACAAAATAAACCTAGGACTGAAAAATGGTAAATGTTTAACCTTTATGTGTCTTGCTCACAACACCAGCTTTTTTCTAGCCACCAACCTTAATGTTAACGTATACCTTTCTTTATGAAATGTTTCTGATTGGACTTAACTGTTGTGCTTCAGTTTTACGTGCTTCATAAAATTGTTTAATCAGAGCCTACTCGAGAGAAAAAATGATAAAGGAAAAGATTTGGAAAAATTCAGTAAATTCAGCATAAATACATAAAAGTTTTTTTTATCAGAGTACTTTCAAATATTATAAAATTGTATAAGTTTTTCATATTTTGTGAGAAATTGCAGGTTTTTATAATATTAAGTACCTTGCCATCTACTAGTGGGAATCTATACATGAAGTTACTGTTAATATCATTTAGATTTCTAAAACCTATGACATGGTTTATCTTCATTGAGTTTTTTTCCTTTTGGCCACACTGGGGTTATTGTCCCTAATGCTCATATGAATAAGTTGAATAAGTCAACTTTGACTTACCCAAAAAAACTTCTGACTCCTAATGAAGTGTTTTCATTATGCCCAAAGCCAGTTATATAAAAGATTAAAAATATTAAGTGCTCCGTGACTGTCGGGTGTGAGGTGTGGACAGGAGGTTAAAGGAGCAGTGAGTGGCTCTGACTCTGCAGGGCAGCACGAAGTAGGTGAGGTCTCAGGTCTGGGAATGTGCGTGGGAATTGGTCAGCTGGTGGAGGCTGGAAGAACATTATCCACCTAGGTGAAAGGAAGTGTAATCACCTATTTAGGGAAGAATGCAATGTGCTTAGAGTATGCCAGACCGATCTGAGCTGTAATACAAGGGGTGGGGATAGGACTTACACAGAGCAGCATAGGAAATGGCGCTGCCACCATTTCTTGTACCGCAGCTTGGTGACAGGGCCTGTGATTTTTTTTCTGGTAAGCAGATCATTACCTGTGGACACTGAATTCATCCTTTATAGAAAGCTGAATCAGAAACATGAATAACAGTGAGGAAAGTGTTTGAGGAAGATAAATCTGATGATAGAAGAGATTAGAAACTATAGTCACAAAGCGTGGAAGGATGGGATGCAAGTGGAGGGGCTAAGCTGCTGTCTTAGAGCCAGTGCTGAGAACTTCAGTTAGTGATGGAAGTGCCAGGGGCATGGAACCTGGAAGCTTCACAATGGCTTGGTCCTCTGGGGAGTCGTCTACTTTGGGAAGAAATGAAAGTACTGATGAAACAGCTTGCAATCTTGGAATCGGGGTGAAGTTAGGTATTTTGTGATTCCAGATAGATGATGGATTTTTTTTTTTCTTTTTAAGATTTACTTACTTATTTGAAAGAGTGAGGGAGTTGGGGGAAAGAATGAGATCTTCATCTACTTCAAATGTGTGTAGCACCCAGAGCTGGGCCAGGTTGAAGCCGAGAGCCTGGAACTCCATCCTGGTCTCCCGTCTGGGTGGCAGGGGCCCAAGCACTTGGGCCACCTTCCACTGCTATCCCAGGCCACAGCAGAGAGCTGGATCGGAAGTGGGGCAGCCAGGACTCCAACTGGCGCCCATGTGGGATGCCAGCACTGTGTGCGGCAGCTTTACCCACTACGCCACAGCGCTGGCCCCTGTGCAGCTATTTCCACTGCATGATTTCAGAAAATATCCCCCAGTCATAACCATTCACAGCTGCTCCCAAACCCTTCTCTGCCCTCCCTCCTACTCTGGCAACCACTAATCTGCTTTCTGGCTACATTTGCCTATCCTGGATATTTTGTATAAATGGAATCATACAAAATTGTGATCTTTTGGAACTGGTTTCTTTTCAATAATTCAAATGGGTGAATGAGCTTAGGGTACTGTTTGTTATGCACCTGAATTTTTAAATTGAAAGTGTTACTGTGACTACTTATGTGACCTATTATCCTTAGATGACCTTTATAGATTGTCACTTTGTGACAATTCTTTGTATTGTTTTTGAACTGTTTTGACTTTCAGCAGGAGTTCTTTGAGGCAGAGAATAGTAAGTTTGCTGCACAGTGATAAAATGAGTGTAATTCAGTACAGAAATAGAACTGACCACTTCATTTACGTGTAAGTGCTGCTCGGTGTACATATATTTTTTTTCTAAGAAAGTATTTATTTGAAAGAGTTACAGAGAGGCAGAGGCAGAGACAGAGGGGTCTTCCATCCGCTGCTGGTTCACTCTCCCAAATGGCAACAGTGGCTGGAGCTAGGCCGATCCAAAGCCAGGAACTAGAAGCTTCTTCTGGGTCTCCCACGTGGTTGCAGAGGCTCAAGGACTTGGTCCATCTTCTGCTTTCCCAGGCCACAGCAGAGAGCTGGATCAGAAGTGGAGCAGCTGGGACTCAAACCGGCGCCCACATGGGATGCAGGCACTGCAGGCAGTGGCTTTACCTGCTATGGCACAATGCCAGCCCCTCAGAGTATATATGAAGGAAAGGATCCCTTACCTCACTCTTCGTGTAGGTTACTAGAACTACTTCTGTCTTGTGTTTAGATATCCAGCATACATTTTTGTGGCTATTATGTGTATATACAAGCATATTTTGATTTGATCTGCAAATGGTGAAACTTTCTTCCTGCCTGACGAGTCCTTTGTCCCTGCCCCTGCCCTCGCTGCAGAGAAGAATTCTCAGTGGAAGGGTAGGGGTTGGATAACGGGTCACTGGTGTACCTTGCATTCGCCCTTCCCTGAAACAAATCTCTTCCTCCCTCCTTCCTCCCCTCCCTCCCCTCCTCCTTCCCTTGCTCCCTTCCCTTAAGATTTATTTATTTATTTGAAAGTCAGTATTAGAGAGAGAGCAAACTTCCATCCCATGGCTCACTCCCTAGATAGCTACAATGGCTAGGACTGGGCCAGGCTGGAGCCAGAAGCCAGGAGCTTCATCCAGGTCTCCACTTGGGAGGCAGGGGCTGCCTTCCACTGCTTTCCTAGAGGCATTAGCAGGGAACTGGACCAGAAATGGAGCAACTGGGACTTGAACCAGAGCTCATATGGAATGCTGGCATCACAGGCAGCAAGCAGCTTAATCCACCGCGCCACAGTGCTGGCCCCAAGCTTCTAATGGGAAGATCAAGTGTGGAAATAATTAGTTGATAGATGATTAGACTTTGAGCAGAATCTAAATGAGAGCAAGGGTCTTTTGTCAGTCACCAGTAGTCAATATATACAGGACACTCTTGTAGCCCGGGGGGAGAATCAGAGAATTGAAGTTAAATTTCTGTGTTTTGGGCATGTAGGCAAATACACAGAGTTTTTGGTTGTTAATTCTTGTGGCTCTCCACCTGTTTAATTTTTGGTGCGTTTTTCTTTCCCTCCCATTACACTTCCACTTTGAAAAGAGCAGTTGGAGGGACACTCACTTGAGTTCCCCAGGGTGGGGGAGCTGAAGAGCACTTCTTTCTCACATCTCATTGTTAGTTTACTGTAACAATGATTAATGTTAATAGTGTGCAGCAGACATTTTAGATACTTTGTTTCTTTGCAAAGTGGTTTGGCTTGGTCAGCATGAGGCTGCATCTGGTTAGCAAGAAAGGAAGGTTGGCAGGCCAGAGTAGCCGTGGTCAGCTGTGTGGAGAAAGAGAGAGCATCATTTGGAAGGAGGGCAGTGGCGGAATCCCAGGCAGGGCAGGGCGGGGCTCAAGCTCAGGCAGAGCGCAGAGCGGTTCGCATGGCCCCAGCAGTGCTCTGAGCCTCGGTGCTTTCAGGGTTACCGCGGTGCATCTTCCAACGTCATCAGCCCTCTGATTTCTCTTTGTAAGCATGATGTCAGTGTGTTTTGAAATTTAAAATACCTTTAATGGAGGAGTGAAATTAATTTGTCTGAGAAAGGACAAAAAGGTTGAGGAATCTTGACCCGAACAGTGATTTCCCAAAGGGACACCTGGGAAACCCCCCGGAAGTTGCCTTGGCTCAGAGAACAGTCCTTGAGCTGTCTCAGAGAGGCCCTGTGGCCTTCTGTTCTCACAGGAGAGTGGACATGAGCAATTTAAGCCATACAATGTCACACAGGTGTTCTTTATTGTGGATAGGCTAGGGGTGGTGCTGTTGTCAGGAAAACCTCCTGGCTGTGTGATGTGGAGAAGTCTCAGATGCGTGGGACACTTGAATGCTAACTAAGGAGACTGATTCTTTGGCTCTTGTTCTCTGGAATATTTGGGGCTAAGTAGTTTCTGACATTTTAAAACTCTGAAAGTATTGTTACTAAGAAGTTTTTTTTTTTTTTAAACTGACTATAGAGCACGATCATTAGAATTTAAAAATTATCCATAGATTTAACATCACTAACAGCTGTTTTCATTTTTGCATATTACATCGAGCCTTGTGTGCATACTTTTCTTAGTAATGTTACTTTCAAAGTATATTGAGAAGGAATGCTGCGATCTGGAGAGTTTTGTGTGATTCCTTTTTTCTTTTTAAGGTATGTGTTGGGTGGAGGAGCATTGTGTATGGAACTTCTCACAAAACAGGTGAACTTCTTATTTTTTTCTTTCAATTTTATTTTTATTTATTTGTTTGAGAGACAGACACAGCCAAACAGAGCTCCTGTTCACTGGTTAACTCTCCAAATGCCTGCAGCAGCCAGGGTTGAGACTAAAGGTTGGGAACCAGGAAACTCAATCCAGGTCTCCCAGGTGGATGGCAGGGACCCAACCACTTGAGCCATCACCTGCTGCCTTCTAGGGTCCGCACTGCGAGGACGCTGGCATTGGGAGCTGGGGCCGGCATTCCGACTGTGTGCTCTGATGCGGGCATGCAGGCATCTGAACAGGGAGGCTATGCCTGCCTCTGTTTTCTTATGGTACTCCACAGTCCATCTCCCTAGGGTGTTTTGATTATGCAAATAAGATTCTAAGTAGCAAAGTTCTTATGCAGTCTTTTTTAATAGCACTTTTAGTAATGAAAAACTATTTAAGGTAAACCAATAAAACGACATTGTGCTTGGAGCTGGATCCATATTAGGATAGGCATTGAGTGATATTTTTTAATGTTGTAATTTGCTCACGTTAGGTGCCTGGAATGTAGGCTTGCTTTGGTTTATTGTGAGATTCTGGGAGTGGCTCAACTTTACTTTTTCCTGGATTACAGATTTCTTAACACTGATTTTCTGTTGTTGAATTGTTACATGCTATTTGGGGATCAGGGACTGCTTGTGTGTTTGAGAGACATGTTTTCTTCTCCTGTAGGGCTGGAGCAGTGCCTACTCGATAGAATCGGTCATCATGCAGATAAATGCCACCCTAGTCAAAGGCAAAGCCAGAGTGCAGTTTGGAGCAAATAAGGTACTTATTATTAAGATTTCACATAAGCTGTAAGATAGGTTTCCTGTTACCTTAGGGGGCTTCTTCCTGTCTTGACGCACATCTTTTTGAGACAGTTTATTCCATTTTCATTTGGTTTGTTGTCTTGTTAACTAAAGTGATCTATAGAAAACATGGGAGTGTAAGGAAATTAACGATAACTGAATGATCAGTTAATTATTTAGTGCTTGTTCTTTTTAGTTCTTGTTATATTTACTGTAAACATATCACGTTTTAAATTTATTATTGGCATGTATATTGTAATAAGAAAATTTATATGTACTTGGAGGTTTCCCAAGAGTGAGACCATGTTATGATAGTTATTCTTAATTACCTTTTATGTGCTAGGCTCTAGTCTAAACCTTTTTTCTTGTTAACTCTTGGTCCTTCTGATAACCTAAAATGCAGATATTCTCTGTCTTTGTTCAGTAGGACACTGAAATGTGGAGGTCAGATATTTTGTCTTAAGGTCATGGGTGACAGAGCAAGGACCGGCACCAGGCAGTCTAGCCTTGGCTCTGTTCTGAACCCCTTGAATTCTATAGTTTATTAATTTCCTACATTAAAAAATGTAGTATGTAGTTATCAATAAATACTTAAGTGGGCTAAGGTAATACTCTGGAGTATTACATTTTGGAAAAATGTTTATGTGGTGGAAATCATCTTGACCTATTGCTTTTTAAAATTTGAATGTTCCTAAAGTTCTTTGTGAGTTTCCCATTACATGTCTATTCGAATAGTATTAACTCTTAAGTATTTATCACCATATGCACCCCAAATCATGAGTCCACTTAGAATCTTAATTCACAATGTAGGGAAAAAAATTGTTTTAAAAGTCTTTTATTTGGGATGGCACTCCTTTTTTGCTTTTAGCTGTTTTGTACAACTGGAATAAAATACCATTTGGCATAAAATCCAAAAGTTGATTATTGTACACTAGTGAGTTGCTTAACAACATTAGCTAGCATTTCTTTTTCTTTGTTTCTTTCTCTTTCATTCTTTCAAGATTTTTATTTATTTGAAAAGCAGAGTTGGAGAGAGAGAGAGAGAGAAAGAGAAAGAAAGAGAAAGGGGGGGAGGGAGGGGTCTTCCATCTACTGGTTCATCCCCCAAACAGCTGCAAAGGCCCCAGACTGGGCTGGACCTGGCTAAAGCCAGGAGCTTCCTCCTCTCAGTGGGTATGGAGGCCCAAGCACTTGAGCCATCTTGTCCTGCCTTTCCAGCCACACTAGCAGGGAGCTGAATCAGAAGTGGAGCAGCTGGGACCTGAACCGGCAGTGTGGGATACCAGCATTGCAGGCAGCAGCTTAACCTGCTTCCACAGTGCTGGCCCTGTAGCTAGCATTTCTTAACATATGTATTTCAGTATGTTAGTGCTTTAATGGTTTAAGTGTGGCACATAATGTGTGTTAGAATATGGAATTCTTATTTTTATTTTTAAATTTTTTTTTAAAGATTTATTTATTTGAAAGAGTTACAGAGAGAGAGGAGAGGCAGAGAGAGAGAGGTCCTCCATCTGTTGGTTCACTCCTCAATTGGCCGCACCGGCCAGAGGTGCACAGATCTGAAGCCAGGAGCCAGGAGCTTCCTCCAGGTCTTCCCATGCGGGTGCAGGGGCCCAACCACTTGGGCCATCTTCTGCTTTTGCAGGCCATAGCAGAGAGCTGGATTGGAAGTGGAGCAGCTGGGACCCAAACTGGTGCCCATATGGGATGCCGGCGCTGCAGGTGGCGGCTTTAGCTGCTAGGCCACAGTGGCTAGGCCACAGCGTCGGCCCCCTTACTTTTTGGTGACAGGATTTATAACTATATTTTTCCGTGTAGTTTCCTTGGCAAGTAAAAATAACCATTTTACTTAGAATGCGCAGTCAAGCTACAAACACAATATTTGCATGTTAAGGACAGCCTTCCACAGTCTCTTAGCAATAGGCGCAGTTCTCCTGATCTCATTGATGTGGGAGCATCACAGCCTGTACCTACAATAAGGTGACCCAGTGAGTTAGGAGATACAATGAGAGTGTATGCAGCCTGTCTGTCCTTGACAGAAATGTCAGTATGTGTTTGGAATGTGGATATTTTTCATTTTCTTTTTTTTTTTTTTTTCAGTGTTTTGTTATGATGAAACTTCAGTCTTCTTTTTTTTTTTTTTTTTTTTTGACAGGCAGAGTGGACAGTGAGAGAGAGAGACAGAGAGAAAGGTCTTCCTTTTGCCGTTGGTTCACCCTCCAATGGCCGCCGCGGCCGGCGTGCTGCGGCCGGCGCACCGCGCTGATCCGATGGCAGGAGCCAGGTGCTTCTTCTGGTCTCCCATGGGGTGCAGGGCCCAAGCACCTGGGCCATCCTCCACTGCACTCCCTGGCCACAGCAGAGGGCTGGCCTGGAAGAGGGGCAACCGGGACAGAATCCGGCGCCCCAACCGGGACTAGAACCCGGTGTGCCGGCGCCGCTAGGTGGAGGATTAGCCTAGTGAGCCGCGGCGCCGGCCCTTCAGTCTTCTCTTTATTAAGAAATATTTGTCAGTCAAGAAAGTGGAAACTTTGTAGTAAGAGTTTCACCTTCCTGTATTCTAAACTCAGCAGAGAATAGTCTAAATGTTAACTTTAAAAATACTGTCAAGAAAGTAACTGGCTGGATGGTGTTTAAAATGTGCTGCTGTTTGTATGTGAGTGTTGTGTGAGTGTTAGAGGGAGACAGGCATTACTAGATACGCATGTAGAAGTACAGAATGTTCTGGGAAATATAAGAACGTGCCGATAGCTGTTGTTTGTGCTAAGCGCTTTTTAAAAGTACTGGTGAGGGGGTGCCTTACGATGAGAGGGACACTTTAAATTGTTTTATGCTTTTGAATTTCTTTTTGCCATATAAGTATTAGCTCAAAAATACCTTAAATATTTAAAAAATACTATGAGCTATTGGTTCATAATAAATGAATGAATTTACCTCCTTAACTCTTTATACACTGATAGAAATATGTGTAAGTTTGGAAAACAAAACATTTTCCACCAGCAGACCTGCTGGAGATAGGGATCTAATTGACGGAGTAGGGGATGTTACAGTTCTGGCTAAGCAGGAGTCACTGAATCGGAGTAGTAAGTAGTATAGGCTCTGTGTTGGAAGAGTTGCAGATTGGTGCCTGCTCACATGGGGCACCATAAATGTTAGGAAAAGAGGCGCAGAATATAGGCAGTGTATGAATCTACAGCCAGACCGAATTTAGAGAAAATAAGTCCACAGAGGTGGGTGACCAACTGCCCCACCAGGGGCCGGGCCTTTTTATATTTTAGGAGGGCCAGGGATGGGGGTGGGGGTACGGGGCAGCAGGCTGAGGGGAATTCCTGGAACTGGGGGGCCTTGGGAACCTGGAAGAGAATGCAGGGTGGGGTATGAAGGCCACAGGGTGGGAGAGCCAATGGAGCTCCAAGGGCACGGAGTACACTGCAGTGTTTGTCTGGGCAGTGAGCGAGTGGCTGAGGCTCCTGTCTTTGTTCCATCGCTCACCGGTAGCTCCCCTAGGCTGAGCCAGCGGCCGCTGAGAGCGAGCCCCGGGCAGGATGTGGGCTGGGCTGGTCTAGAGCCTGAGCCCCGGGCCACAGTGGTGAGAGTCTTCCAAGGATGCTTCCAATCGCTGGAGCCCGGTGGAGGAGGGGAGTGCTAGGGCACATGGTCCTGGGGGCAGTTCCGCATCTCTTCCTGCCTGGAAGGGCCCCTCCCTTTCCTGCTGCTCACACATAGACTCCCATTCACAAGAGAGAGGGGCTTTCCCCCCTCCAGGTCCAGGAGGGGCCAGCTGCTACTTAGACTGACCTAACCAGTCCAATGTTAGAGGGCTGCGCCAGGGGACTGCCGTGATCGCATGTTGGTTACGCCCACAGCTGTCATCACAGTGAGACACAGACACTGGAGGAAGGCAGCACTGATCTAAGCCCGTGGGATTTTGCATCCACTCGGCAGCTAAAATGGAATATGCCAAAAACCAGCGACTGTCACTCATGAATTTTAATGAAAAGGAGAGGCAAGGCACTGATCGGGACCGACGCTCCTTACCAGAGTGCGGCCCCCAACAGCGGGTTACACAGCTTTTTATAGTACTCTGTCCACTAGGGCTCACAATTTTGAACCGGGCCCCTGGTATGCAGTGAACAATAAAAAGAAAACCAGAATATGGTTGTAAGATAACTGTTAACAACAACAAACCCAATAACAGATCCAAGCTATGGTTGTAAGGTAACAGTGAAGGACACATTTCTGTCAGACTAGTTCCTGGGAATTTGGGCCCCATAGTTTCACAAGGTAAACGCTTAGCCGTTAGCAAGCAAAGCTAATATGTACAGAAGCAAGAGATCTGCAATTAGCTTTTAGCCATACTCACTCTATTTTGATTCTGATTCTACAAGATTCCCAAAGATTAAAATCAAGCAAATATGCATTTATAGTCAAAAGTCAGAACACAGCAGTAGGCAAGCCTACACAGATGAGAATTGGCAGAAATAGTAATAGGTATATGTATTCCAGAGACTGTAGATTTTAGAATGATCAGATACAGAATAGAAATTTCACTTGTTAGAATTGTGAGAAAATAAGTGTATGTGAAATTTTAATGTAAAGAAAAAAGGAATCATAAAATTGAGCAAGTAGTGGACCTACAGGAATGAGGAGGAAGCTCTGAAAAAATGAAATAAAAGTACAGAAATAATTGTCAAAATGAGAAACTCAGTAAATGGATTCAACACCAGAAGAATTCATTGATGAGACGGTATCTCCAAAGAGCTAAGGCGGCATGCTGCAGAGAGCATGGAGATGTGATACGGCCAAAGACAAGACGGAGGTCAGAGTGAGGGATGTGATGTGGCTTAGTGGAATCGTGGGAGATGTTAAATTATACTGAAAGTAGAGAAATGCAAGCTAGAAAGTAAGGAGATAGAAGCATGTCCATATGAGTTAATCGCAACAAATACAGAAAGACTAAGTTACCAGTTGGGCGGAGTTAACAAAACATGTAAGTACAAGAAGATTTAAGGTTTTTTTTAAATAAAGAGTGACAAAAATATGTCAGCATACAGGAAGCAAAAACAAGTGCTGTAGCTTACTATCAAACAAAGTATGATTTTAGAACAAAAGGCCTTAGTGATTACTTAATGAAAAAATCTCAGTTAACTATGAGGAAATAGCGATTTTTGCACTTTATGTATCTGTCAGAGGGGAGAAGCTGATTAAACACAAGGAGACGCTGAGAACTCCAGTACTGGAGTTGGAGACTTTAGTGAATCCTGCGTATGGTAAGTTAACAGAACATCAAAGTGTCCATCTGAATAACTGATTAACAGGCCTGGTCTGTGGACAGGTTACGCTTCTCAAGTATATGTGGACTATGGAAAAGTATTTCATATACCAATCCATAAAGCAAGTCAGAAGACTTAAAAACAGTTGGTGCTATATAAGCCATACTTGCATGATTTGCAATGTAATTATGGTTAGAAGATAGTGACGAAGAGATTAATTTCCAAATTCATGTAGATTTTTGTTAAACATACTTCTAAATAATGGTTAAGGAATCAAATGAAAATTTAAAAACACTTAGAATCAAATCATAGTAAAAATACTACAATTCTCACTTCCCTCTTCTCTGTAACATTTATGAAACTAAAGCTGTTGAGTGAAGCAAACCTACATTTTGAAAAGCAGAAAAAGGACAGATGTCATTCTCTAGTCTTACTTACATAAAATGATGTTAGTAACCATCAGAAAACAAGTGTTCCCTTGTAGAATTTTAAAACTCAACAACTCTTGGGCCACACAGGACTTTGAAAGTAAAAGTGCAGAATATGTAGAGAATAGTAATAATGTAATCACTACATTTCAGGAAACAAAGACCTCGGAGGCTTGTCCATTGCCTTAGAATCCTTCCGTCCTTTAGAAAGGGTAATCAGAATGGGAGAAAAGCAGAATGGAAAAATTGAACTAGAAGGTGTAAGCAGAAACCCCCATAAGTCAGAGAGACAGGGCTGACGCCCGTTTTCGAAAGGCCTCTGCAGCAGTAGTCCTTTCAAACTGCGTTGCTCGCTGTTGACAGCCGAGCAGGGGCAGGCTGAGGGCCTTAGTTCTGCCGCGTCTCAGAGGGCGGCTCCTGGGCTTCCTGGGGTTGGGAAGTGACTGTCGTGGTCGCTTGGCAGTTGCACTGTGTGTGGTTTGTTCTGTGTATAGTTTTGTCCTCCTCTTTGTGACAGCCTCTTTTTCATGAACTTTGAGAAGACAGGACTGTGTTTTGAATGTCATATAACGGGATTTTACTGCTTTAGAGAACTCTTAGAAACTGAAAGACTACCTGTAGAAAAATAGGAAGAGGATATAAAAACTCTATTTAAAGAAATAGAAATAAATGGATTGTGAACATTTGGAGACATTCGGCCTCACTGCGTAATGGAAATATAAATTCAGCTACACGTAGTCCTTTCTTCACCTGTCACTGTGGGATCAGATAACCTGTGTGTGATGAACTGAGTTGGTGAGGCTGAATGGAGGCGCTCCCACGTGACGGGCGGGAAAGCACACTTGCGCAGTCCAGAGGGCGGCCTGGCAATGTCCTGACACAGAGCCGTGCCTGTCTTCCGACTGCACCTCGGCTCCGGGCATTTTTACCAGCACCTCTCACACCACCCAGAGTGCCTGTCAGTAAGGCACCGAGCAGGGTATCTCCTGCTAGAGAACGGCAAAGCTGTCTGCGCGCTGACACGGGACAAGCGCCATAAAATGTGCGCCGAGAAAAGGGAGGGGCCGCCCCAAGGTACAGGAAATGAGAAAAAGCGTCAGCAGTTTGCCGCCAGCGGGGGAAGGAGAGTGGGCAGAGTGGACGCTAACGAGTGCGTAAGCTTAAGCGGGGACATAAAAGAAACTGGCAGGAATGGTTAATTCGGGTGGAGGAAGGAGGAGGGATGGGATGGAGGACAGCCGGGTGGCTGGCAGACAGGAAGCGGAATTCTCACCTAGAATGTGTTTATACATTTTTAAATTCTTGTGGATCATTAAAACATTTTAAGACATAACCTAATAGGTACATACCACTGTGGACAGTGTGCGTGACATATTATTTGGAAGCTATGTTGTAGGTCAGTTATACTTACGGTGACAAAACGAATGCTAAATTTGGCTCCTATTTGTACCCAGAGTGGACTTTCAGTAATGACTTGTTGCTATTAAGGGCATTTTTTCAGATTTCTAACTCAAAATATCATTGATACATGTAGTCCCTGAAGCTTACATTTTCAGCTGAAAGTTGTATTTGTAGTTGTTTGCTTTGGGATGGCAGTTAGGAGGACAGTCTGGTGTCCTGCGTCTTGAGCCGTCACTAAAACCATAAAACTGTGTCTCTGCTTATAAAATGAACAGTGGAGCTTCTATTAGATTTTTACTAGAATATGGTTTTGTTATTCTTATAAAATTATAGAGAATAATGCAATTGGGAAATGAGAATATGAAGTTAAGTGTTTTTGAAGTGGAGAGAATATTCTGTGTCCTGTGTTCTTTTAAGCACAGCAATGATGTAGTAATAAACTTTAATAATTTTCCTCTACAGTTTTGACCCAAAATGTGTAATCTTTTTCTTTTCAGAATCAGTATAATCTAGCAAGAGCCCAACAGTCCTATAATTCCATTGTACAGATACATGAGAAAAATGGTATGTTTCTTATTAAACATTATAACCAGCATTCAAAATGTTTATAAAAAATGCTGTTTTTGATAATGCCTGGGAATGTGTAAGCTTTTTTTAGCTGTGGTGAAGAGTGGTCTTGATATAATTTTGCAAAATTTACAAATAAAATTGTATTTATCATATACAGCATGTTTTAAAGTATATATGTATATATGTGTGTGTATATACACACACACACACATTGTAGAATGACCATCTAGCCAATCAACACGTGTATCACCTCACAAATTTTTGTGGTGAGCACACTTTGTCTACTGTCCTGTCATTTTCCCAGAAGGTGTTGAGTCACATTCACCGTATCCTGAGATGGTACCCTAAGCTGAGAGAAGTCCTAGTGTGGCCGTGCCCCTGCAGCCTTTAGCACACTCCTGCTGTAATGGCTTCCACACTGGCCAAGTGACACCACTGCACTGACAGCAGTCCATGTGCTGGTTACTCTACGTGCTGGATTTTGTTTGGGAGATAGTTATTTTCAGTGAAGTTTACTTTCTTTTTTTTTTCTTTTTTTTTTTTTTTTGCCAGGCAGAGTTAGAGAGAGAGAGAGAGACAGAGGGAAAGGTCTTCCTTCCGTTGGTTCACCCCCCAATGGCCACCATGGCCAGTGCGCTGCACTGATCCGAAGCCAAGAGCCGGGTGCTTCCTCCTGGTCTCCCACGCGGGTGCAGGGCCCAAGCACTTGGGCCATCCTCCACTGCACTCCCGGGCCACAGCAGAGAGCTGGCCTGGAAGAGGGGCAACCGGGACAGAATCCAGCGCCCTGACGGACTAGAACCCGGGGTGCCGGCGCCGCAGGAGGAGGATTAGCCTAGTGAGCCGCAGCGCTGGCCAAGGTTTACTTTCAAATACAGAACTGAAATGGAATAAAACTTCACGTGGTTTAATGTGCTACACTGTAATCTTTTAGCTAGGAATGTCATTAATGTAGAGATCTTTTGTCAAGTACTCAAGTAAAATTTATGCATAGAAAATTACATTATGAAAAGAACATACTGAGTGCTATTATTAATCCAGGTGTAAAAGTTCCATTTTTCCAGCAGGTTTATAACACTAAAATTATGGGTAGAGACTGTAGCTAACCTTCATAGTGCCAGTTCTCCTTTTTGGTTTAAGAAGTAAAGTATTTTAGGCTGGTGCTGTGGCCCACTAGGCTAATCCTACGCCTGCAGCTCCGGCACCCTGGGTTCTAGTCCTGGTTGCTCCTCTTCCAGTCCAGCTCTCTGCCGTGCCCGGGAAGGCAGTGGAGGTGCTTGGGCCCTGCACCTGCGTGGGAGACCAGGAGGAAGCACCTGGCTCCTGGCTTCAGATCAGCGCAGTGCGTCGGCCGTAGTGGCCATTTGCGGGGTGAACCAACAGAAGGAAGACCTTTCTCTGTCTCTTTCACTGTCCTAACTCTGCCTGTCCAAAAAAAGTATTTTAACGTTGTGTTTCCATTCTGTTTCAGGCTGGTACACCCCTCCAAAGGAAGATGGCTAAATATGCTGACTGTCACATGTGTGGACCAACGTTGCTTTAAAGAAAATCTTTCCAACATGCAGACACAGCTTTGAGTGCCCCATAACAGCAGTACTGAAGACGTTAGCTAATAGATATTTTAGTGGATAATCTGTCAACTGACATCCAGTATAAGTTACAGCCTTCTCATTTTGCTCATTTTAGGTGTCCGGGACTGAGCAGAGGGGCCTTTCCTGTGTCTCTCCTGATGAAGACACATGCTGGCCACTCCTTATCTCTCTTTCTTAAAGTGAAACCTTTTAGGCATACAGGGCAGCACCAGGTTACTGAACAGTTGTGACTTTATGGTAACTTTCCTATTTTGAGCCCATGGGTTATGAGAATTTGCAGTATGTTGTTATATATAGAGCCAATAAAAGTTTAATCAATGTTCAGTATTGGTTTAGAAAATTTTAGGTCCTCTAAACCAGATACCTTTCTCAAGTCTAGAACCATTTTATGATACTGCCAAAATGACACGCGATCTAACTGTCAAAAAATTTTAATGGCTATGTGATAGGAACTGTTGTCTGAAGGTCTACTCTTACCTGTGTGGTGATGGACCTTTAAGGCAAAGAAAGCGAGGCTATGCCAGCTAAGGCTGTAGCTGGTCATCCCACTGGGCAGCAGCAGGCCTGCTGGGCTGAGTCTGCTTCCTGTTGGTTTCCTTATTTCTTATGAAGACAGCCACAGTACAGAGCTTGAAGCTATTTAGAATACTCTCACTTTACATTTCCATTTTATTAACGGGATGTTGCAATCATTTGTAAACTGATAAAAAACAATTGGGCATGGAGACAGGAGCAAAAGCTAGAGTTAAGTACAAAAAGATACCTAATTTGGAGTTTGCTGTAAGTCATAATGATGGCCTTCACATCAAAAACAAGAATTCTGCATAGATTAATTCTTTAAGACCCAACTCAAATCCGTGTACCCCCCATTTTATTGACTTACCCAAATCAGTCATGTTTGGAAATGTTTTCTTATGTACCCAAGTTTGATTTAAAAGTAAATTCTAGTGACTAAGCACTTTTAAAAAAGAAACCCAAAAGCACATCTTTCGCATAAACCGGTTACAAAGTTCAGGTGTTTCTTAGGTGTTCGCTGAAGATTCGGTTTGTGACTTCGTTTACGTGCCCAGGAGGCCTGGCGATGGCGTGGTCTTCTCACTGTTGGGTCGAGGACAGATCAGATTTCCTGGCCCCGGAAGGGCCGGGTTGCCGGTAGCTCAGATCACAAGTGACGAGGCAGAGTTCTTTAAAGCATTAAAGTTCCTTATACCTAAGGCTAATCTTGAATACATTATTGAATTCTTTAATATCCGGATGGCTAGCAGAGGGACAGCTGCACATTTGGCATGCTTTGTTTTTCGGATTTTTATTTTTCATAGCAGATTTATTTGGCAATGTACAGTAAATCTTGTAAACTTGCATCAAGTTTATGAATAAAGAACCATTTAAGAATCACGAGTCGTCGTTCTCGGGTGAGCGCGCGCTCCAGGGGTAACTTCCGAGGGCCCGGGCGGAGCTGGCGCCCACGTCCCCGGGCCGGGCCCACCGCTAAGCCTGCGCCCGCGACCCGCGCCTCGCCTCGCCTCGCCAGGCGCCCGCTTCCCGCAGAGCCCGCGGGGCAGGTGCACCGCACGCCGCCTGAGGCGCCCACACCTCGGTCGAGTTTCTCAAAACAGTGTCCGTTCGAAAACTGGGCACCGGCGCTGGCAAGAGTAGCCCGCGCCGCCGGTTCCCGCATCCCAGAAGCCGGAGTGCACGCGCCGCGGCGGCGGCTCCCGAAGCCCGGCCACGGCCGCCCGCGCCTGCGCCGGAAGTCCGGACGCCGCCGCCGCACGGCGCCTGCGCACCAGCTGCGCCTGCGCACCAGCCCCGACTCCTCGCTCGGCCGGAAGTGGCGCGCTGACCCGGCGGTCGCGCGTCGGGCGTCGCGGGCGCCTCAGAGCCGCCGGGAGAGATGGAGCCGGTGGGCGGCGGCGGCGGCGGCGGGTGTCGCCGCGGCTCCTCCTCTGCAGACCCGCGGAGCACCTTCGTGTTAAGTAACCTGGCGGAGGTGGTGGAGCGCGTGTTCACCTTCCTGCCCGCCAAGGCGCTGCTGCGGGTGGCCGGGTGAGGAGCGGGGCGGCGGGGGGCTGACCTCGGGACGAGCCGGGCGCGCGCCCCGGGCGTGGCGGGGTGGGCCGAGCCCCTCAGGACCCCGGGCGTCCGCAGCCCCCGCGAGGTGGGTGCCCCCGGGGCGGGGGGTCGCCTCGCGCCCGGTGCCGCCCGCCCGCCTGCCCCGGCCTCGCCTCGGCGCCCGCGGCCCGGTGCGAACGAAGCTTTGTGCGTCTGGCCCCCAGCGTGTGCCGCCTGTGGAGGGAGTGCGTGCGCCGAGTGCTGCGGACCCACCGCGGCGTGACCTGGATCTCGGCGGGCCCGGCCGAGGCCGGCCACCCGGAGGGGCACTGCCTGGTGCGCGCCTTGGCCCAGGAGCTCGAGGCAAGTACGGCGGGCTGCCCGGGGTTCGTCGGCCGGGGGCCGAGGTCGCGGCTGGCGCTCGGAGGGGCCCAGGTGCACGCGTGTCCCGCCCTAAGCCAGGTGCCGGGCTGAGGCCCTTCCCTCGCCGGGTTCCTGGGGAGCAGCCGGTGTCTGGGTCGGTGTCGCAGCCTGGAGAGCCGAAACCCCACTCGCAAACGGTCTGTACGCCTGTGCAGCTCTGGGCGCCGGCTTCGACGCGGGGGCGACACCCGGGGGGGCCGGGAGTCCCGGGTGGATGAGCTTCACCAGCCGCGCCTGGGGCGGAGTGCCTTCGGGTGGCGTGTCCGCGCCTCCCACGCGGCGCGCGGTCTCGCGGGTGCCATTGCCGGTGACGTAGCCAAGACCTCTTGCGCCGTTCCTAGTGTTTACGGCGAGCCCCGTGCAGCCCTGCTCCGGCTTCATTCACGGCTTTACCCTGTGCGTGCCCGCGCGCTCTCGCGTGGCCGGGTGCTCCGTGGGTTTGGAGCGCTGCCTGCTTTCCTGGCGCAGTGTGTTCTGAACTCGCCGTGGGGTTGCCTGCTCCCGCCCTGGGGTCCGCCGCTTCCCCAGGAAGCCCTGGTCCCCTCCGGGGAGAGGGATGTGGAGACCACGGTCCGGGTGTCCCGTGGCTGTGAGCGGAGCGAGGCAGCAAGTGTGTGTGTAGGCAGCCCTCGCTGCGCGCCGGATCCACGCGCGGTTCCGTTCTGGGCATCCTGCCCTGAGGCTGCGGGAACCCAGCCGCCCAGGCCCTGGTGAGAATCAGTGTGGCCAGAGCCTCCGGGCTCCCGCGTCTCTGGGTGACTGGTACCACCTAACTCAGTGAACAGGTGCTGTTCCGTGTTGTTAAGGGAATAGTGACAGGGAGACACGACTTTGTAGTAGTGTTTTGAATATTTTCCAACTGACGTTGGTTGAACCTGTGGACACAGAACCTGCAGAAGAGAATGGCCGGCTGGACAAGTGTGTGTGTGAGGCAGATAATGGAGGGCTGGTGTGACACGTGTGTGTGTGTGAGAGAGAGATGGAGGGCCGGCTAGACACACTCTGTGCGTGTGTGTGTGTGAGAGATATAGAGGGCTGGCTAGAGGTGCGCGCGTGTGTGTGAGAGAGAGAGAGAGGGCTGGCTAGAGGTGCGCGCGTGTGTGTGAGAGAGAGAGAGAGGGCTGGCTAGAGGTGCGCGCGTGTGTGTGAGAGAGAGAGAGAGGGCTGGCTAGAGGTGCGCGCGTGTGTGTGAGAGAGAGAGAGAGAGGGCTGGCTAGAGGTGCGCGCGTGTGTGTGTGAGAGAGAGAGAGGGCTGGCTAGACGTGTGTTCGTGTGTGTGAGAGGGTGAGCACGTACCACTCTGGCTGTTCGTCTCAGGGTCAGGGACTCATGAGTTCACACAGGCACAGGTGAGTCAAGTCCAGCACAGGATCCCGGTTTTCTGTCTGCTCACCGTGGGCCTTCCCTTCGGACAGTGGGCATCGTGGTCTTGTCATTCCTGACATTGCAGGTAACGGCTCAGTGCCCCGCACACACCAGGCTGCTGTTGCCCCTTCCTCGTAACCCGTTTTCTGCTTCCTGCGTTTGGGCCCATGAGACTCAGACCCTAGGAGCTGGCCCGTACCCAGGCAGGTTTGCAGAAAATGTTCTTCTCTGGTGCCTTGGCCCAGATCCTGGTGTTTCTGAGTTTGTCATTGCAGAAATTCAAAATGGAAACAAAGACTTTTCCACGGAAATGTTCTTTGGAGCATCATTTATTTAAGAGAAATTAAGAGAAACCTGAAGTCATTAAATGATGAATGTAGACACATTAATGTCAAATGTTGATGTGAAAAACGCAGATTATGAAGTGATATTTCGGCCGGCGCCGCGGCTCACTAGGCTAATCCTCCGCCTAGCAGCGCTGGCACACCAGGTTCTAGTCCCGGTCGGGGCGCCGGATTCTGTCCCGGTTGCCCCTCTTCCAGGCCAGCTCTCTGCTGTGGCCAGGGAGTGCAGTGGAGGATGGCCTAGGTGCTTGGGCCCTGCACCCCATGGGAGACCAGGAAAAGCACCTGGCTCCTGGCTCCTGCCATCGGATCAGCGCGGTGCGCTGGCCGCAGTGCGGCGGCCATTGGAGGGTGAACCAACGGCAAAGGAAGACCTTTCTCTCTGTCTCTCTCTCTCACTGTCCACTCTGCCTGTCAAAAAATTAAAAAAAAAAAAGTGATATTTAGTATGATCTGAACTGTTTAAAACAAAGAAACGTAAAAGCAACCAACCCAGCTGTTACCAGATGTTTTCTCTGGGGCTAAAATTCTGTGGTGGTTTTAAATACTTGCACAGATTCGGTGTGGTGGTGGTGGTGGTTTGGATTTTTGCCACAGCAGGCTGAGCGGTGTGTGCCGTGTAGTGGTTTCCGCCAGACTTCGCTGGGCCGCACAGCCTGGTGTTCTCAGGCCTCAGGCTGCTGTCTCCATGAGGATTCAGTAAGGAAAACAAGATGATGGGAGGCAGCTCACCTGAGAGGGTGTTAAATGCCCCTCTGACGTCCTACCAGAAAGTCTTTTACAACCTTGTACTTTGAGGTAAACTGGTGAGACAGCGTCATGGAAGCCTGTCCAGCTCCCGCGTGCTGTTGGTGCAGTGTTTTCCAGATCGTCTAGGGGCATGCTGCTAGGGGCAGCTACCTGAGTAAGCTGCAGGAGCAGGAATGCTTAAAAAGCTAGTGCAGCTCTTCCCGAGAGCTTGCTGTTGGTAGCCTTGATCATGGAGTGAGGTCCGGGCTGCCTTCCACTGTGCCTCGGAGACACGGCGCTGAGGGCTGGCGTTGCCACTGCTTCTGGGGAGACGGCAGGCGATTGCGGCCAGCTGGTGTCAGCAAAGAGCCCCGGGGAGGCCTGGGACTGCTGATCTCTGGAAGAGCAGGGCCTCGGAGCCCTCGTGGCTTTGCGAGGCTCCGCCTGGGTCGCGGCCTCGGAAATTCTCCCCTCCGCTCCGTGCACAGGCAGCCGGGCCAGGGCTCGCCTCTGGTCAGCCCCCGTCACGGGCGAGCGGTCCCGGTGCTGCCAGCACGGCTTCACTTGCAGACTGTGTGAGAACTCGATGAGCTCTAAGTGTTGGGAGCTGTGGGGAGTGAGGCTCTCGCGGTCGGTTGTGTGGAGGAGGTGGCCCTGGAGCTGCCTCCCGAGGGAAGTGACGGGGCCAGGCACAGGCGGCGTGTGGCTGGTGGCTGGCTCAGGCCTCTGGAGACCCGCTGGGCCGGTGAGACGCGAGAGCAGCCTGATGCGGCCTGGGAGTCGGGTCCGCCCCAGGTTCACCTGTTGAAAGAAGGCAGGGGCGTCTCCTGCTGTAATGGGAAGCTTTTGTCCTGAGAGCTTGGGTTGTCACCGCGAAAAGAACTTCTGGAGGGCTGGGGTGATTTGACTCGAAGCTGTAACTAGCACCCAGTGAGTGAGCTGTGCACGCAGGAGCGTGGAGGTGTGGGCGGGGCCAGCAGCAACCCGGGTCGGGAGCCGGGCGTGTTCCGAGGGAGCGGTGTCCAAGCCTGGTTGTTTGCTTTGCAGAATGTCCGGATCTTACCACAGACGGTTCTCTACATGGCCGACTCGGAGACTTTCATTCGTCTTGAAGAGTGTCGTGGCCATAAGAGAGGCAAGTATCCAGGAAGAACTTTGTTCTCTTCCCTTTTCCGTTTCCTTGTGTATCTTCTGTGTGGGGTTACTTTCTGGGGCTCTGGGGCTGACGGGTAGTACGCTTACATACACAAGGGGCTCCAGAAAGTCATGAAAAAAATTAAAACGCACGCTGGGGCAGGTGTTCAGCCCAGTGGTGAAGTCACTTGCATCCCCCAGCAAGTGCCTGGGCTCTCGGCACTCCTGGCCCAGCCTCCCTGAGCGGCAGTGGTGGTGGCTTTGGTAACTGAGTGCCTGCTAGCCCTGTGAGAATTCTGTTGAGTCCCGGGCTCCTGGCTTCAGCCTTAGAGCTTCTGGCAGTTT